ATTTGTCCTACACCTCATTTGTCCTACACCTCATTTTTCCTATACCTACTTTGTCCTACACCTCATTTGTCCTACACCTCATTTGGCCTACACACAATTTGGCCTACACCTCATTTGTCCTACACCTCATTTGTCTTATACCTACTTTGTCCTACACCTCATTTTTCCTACACCTCATTTGTCCTACACCTCATTTGGCCTACACCTCATTTGGCCTACACCTCATTTGGCCTACACCTCATTTGTCCTACACCTCATTTTTCCTATACCTACTTTGTCCTACACCTCATTTGTCCTACACCTCATTTGGCCTACACACCATTTGGCCTACACCTCATTTGGCCTACACCTCATTTGGCCTACACACCATTTTTCCTACATATCATTTGTCCTAAAGAGAGGAGATAACATCATTTGTCCTACACTTTAATTGTACTCTGTACATCAATTGTCCTACAGAGAGAGAGAAACATCATTTGTCCTTACACTTTAATTGTACTTTGTACATCAAATGTCCTATAGAGAGACAGAAACATCATTTGTCCTTACACTTTAATTGTACTTTGTACATCTATTGTCCTATAGAGAGAGAGAAACATCATTTGTCTTTACACTTTAATTGCACTCTTCCTATAGAGAGAGAGAAACATCATTTGTCCTTACACTTTAATTGTACTCTGTACATCTATTGTCCTAAAGAGAGAGAGAAACATCATTTGTCATACAATTCTAATCGCACTTTACATTATTTGTCTTATTTAGAGGGGATAAAATGAGTTGTCCTACAATTGATAACATCATTTTTTCTTTAGTAATGATTAAAAGGTTGAAATTTAATTTCTTTTAATATGCAATCATCTTATCTTTTTTTTGGTTAAGACACAGTTAAGATTATTTCTGGGCCGAGCGTTGCGGCATCTTGAATGAAAAATAATATGTATCTCTCACCTTAATTTGGGTTAGGCTAGGTTAAGATATTTTCTGGGCCGAGCTCTACGGCTAGGATGGGCTAGGGGGCCGAGCGCTTCAGCCTGTTAAATGTTAAATAATGTGCAGCTGTCTCTCAAAAACAATTTTCCTGTGTGTCACACTTTTTGACCCTATGTGGTTTAACCCTTAGTAAATATATTCACCAGTCCAATATAATTAGAATATAACAGATAAGGATTTATGTATTTTATGATGTTTAAGACAAATGAATGTTTTTTTCGCCCTGTAGGACAATTGATGTTTAGGATAAAATTGAATGTTTTTTTACACTCTGTAGAACGATTGATGTGTAGGACAAATGACATAGCGCCTTAGTTTTGTGATTCTAGGTTGAGCAGATTATAGGGAAAACTAAGTTTCCAGGCAGAGCTGGGTTCCCAAGCTAGTATTCAATATTGTTCAATGTTTACAATTAGATCCACTTTAAGAAAAAAACGAATATTTTGTACGTAACAACACGTATAAATGTAAGACTGAAAGCAATCAGCATTTAAATTTTTTTTTTTACAAAATGCTTGAATTTTGAAATAATTTTTTGAACTTTACTACTCTTTCATTAAAAATCCCAATCTATGTGGTTGGATTATCAACAATAATTTATTTATATTATTTGTTCCGTATTAACATCGAAGGATTTCCAGAACTTGAATAACAATTATTTCAATTATGAAGCTCTGGCGTCGAAAAGAAAAAGCTAAAACACAAATTAGATACTTTCCAAAACAACAAATGTGAATTAATTTTTGCTATGAACAAAATACAATATTGTTGGTTTGTCCCATTCGATATAAATTCTTAATACACACTGTAGAAAATATGATTCATTTCAAGGTACTAATGCAAGGAAAGTTAATTGCGGTCGCGTATACTTCTGCGTACATATTGAAACCAGTTCTCTCTGGGCGGAATTTGTAAACAAGAATATATGCATCAGTGTTCGTTCAGTATCCGAGGAGGTTAAAAGCATTTAATTTTGATAATTCACATAATAGTTTCCTATCACCAGAATATTTCATAGATTATTTTTGTGAAAATGGATTCCATGTCAGGCTCTGACATCCGTTTTGTGTTTACTTTTCCGCCCAAAGACAGTACACTGCAGTACAAAAAATACTTACACCTCTGAAATAACTTTTCTTGTATTAGTACCTTGATTAATTTACTCTGGTAATTGGTGACAGTGCACTGTAGAAGCCTAGTTATATGAATGGGATTCAATTGAGTGTCTACTATAAGAAAGAAAGTTTAAAGATAATTTCTGATAAATTGTTATTTTCTGATTGAAGCTCTCTCTCTCTCCACTCACCCTAGGGTTGGGCGTCTTTCAACATTTTCAATATGTTCGTGAGTGAAATTAGATACAGTGAAACCCTTAATAACGAATACATCGGAAGAATTTATCAAATGTCGTCTTGACAATTTTTCAATGAGTTTTATACTATATTACGTAAATATCAGTATTTGCGAAAAAAATAGCCATGAATATGCGGGAACAGTTTTAAAGAGTTCCATATAATCATATAATTAAAAAACTAAATATCTGCAACATTCCATTATCAGAAAGTGAAGAATACGACATTTGATGAATTCTTTTGATGTATTCGTTATTAAGGGTTTCACTGTAATTTAACAGAATGAACGGGATCATCAAATGATCTATCGTTTTTAACCAATTATTGGATTTTTACGCCAGTTAACAGGTTTTCCGTTCGTTAGCGATTTTTTTTTTAACGACGTTAACACCCGATATCTCAGTATTCGTTAACGGCTTTCGTTTACTTTGTTCTTATCAAAGGATGTTGGGTTTAAATTCAAAGAAAATACAGAGTTCAACATTCAAAACCATATTGCACAAAAGAAAATACCAACGAGGTTATAGTGTATAGAGTGATGATGTACGCTAATCCTTTACTAATTTTATAGGCCATCAACTATACCGAGAGCGTACTGCATATTTGTTTATTTTAAGTTGATTCTGGCCTAACCTATAGTATATTAATATTAGTTAACATTAACAATTGAAAGTGAACAGTACAGCTAACTGAGAACTCAGAGCCAGAAATTTTAAAGAGTATCTTTGAATGAAACTCCCGAGTTTCCATTTCGGGGTCTTAACATTTAAGTAGATTTTAAATTAAGAGATTAGAAAAAAATGGTAAAATATGAAGAAACTAAATAAAATAATATTTCAAAACAAAAATATCGTTATCTACAAAACTGGGTAAACCCATTTGTGAAACCCAGGTTCCAAAACTGGTTTTCATAACGATACCCTGTCTTAAGTTTTGGGCTCAGAGCCAGAAATTTTAAAGAGTATCTTTGAAAGACACTCCCGAGTTTCCATTTCGGGGTCTTAACATTTAAGTAGATTTTAAATTAAGAGATTCGGAAAAGGAGAATATGAAGAAACTAAATAATATAATATTTCATAACAAAAATATTGATATCTGCATAACTGCCTAACCCCATTCGTGAAACCCGGGTTTTAAAACTGGTTTTTATAACGATACCCTGTCTTAAGTTTTGGGCTGAGGTAGAGAACTATCATCCCCCTTGTAAAATACATATTTAAATGTCTCATTGGATTTACGATCTCTTTTTTAGAGACTGTTAATTATGTTTATAAAAGATTAATAAAGTTTGTCCATTTTCCATAGTAAGATAACNGGTAATTTACCCGAATCTCAATGGTTCACTTGAAACTGTGTCTGATAAATAATATTCTTGTGAGATATTCGCCTTTTTTTCTATATCTAGAAGTGTTTTCCTTTAGAAAAAATGCAAAAGGCACTTTTGTCAGGCTCCCATTGTTGTAAATAATCATCTTACAAAGTTTAAACCCTTCAGATTAAAATTCAGATTTGACAGAAATAGCTTCTAAGGGTACCAATGTGAATCGGATTTAGCCATCTTTGCAAACAGTCACTTGAAATTACGCTTACAGTCCCTTTAATTGAACGTTGCACAGTCCTATAACTCTCTGGCCTATGGATGGAGCATACTTCATTTTTCATTCTCAACTGCTTTCAGAGATCCTTTCTTCTTTCATTCACCAGTATACAGGGTTTGCCAATATACGGAATATACAGGGTGTAACAGTATTCAGTATTCGCCAATATACTGGGTGTACCAATATACAGTATTCAGGGTTGTGCGAATTTTCAGTATTCACCAGTATACAGGGTGTACCAAAGTACAGAATCCAACAGTAATTACAGGGTGTACTAATATACAGTATCCACCAGTATACAGGGTGTACCAATATGCAGTATTCACCAGTATACCGGGTGTATCAATACAGATAATCCACCAGTATACAGGGTGTGCCAATATACGGAATATACAGGGTGTAACAGTATACAGTATTCACCTGCAGTATACTGGGTGTACCAATGTACAGAATCCAAAAGTAATTACAGGGTGTATCAATATACCGTATCCACCAGTATACAGGGTGTACCAATATACAGTATTCACCTGCAGTATACTGGGTGTACCAATGTACAGAATCCAACAGTAATTACAGGGTGTATCAATATACCGTATCCACCAGTATACAGTGTGTACCAATATATAGTATTCACCAGCATGCAGGGTGAATCAATACACATAATCCACCAGTATACAGGGTATATCAATAAACTACGTCCACCAGTATACAGGGTGACCAATACAGTATTTTCAGTATACAGGGTATATCAATAAACTACGTCCACCAGTATACAGGGTGTACCAATACAGTATTTTCAGTATACAGGGTATATCAATAAACTACGTCCACCAGTATACAGGGTGAACCAATACAGTATTTTCAGTATACAGGGTATATCAATAAACTACGTCCACCAGTATACAGGGTGAACCAATACAGTATTTTGGCAAAAAAATATTGTTAATTTGTCAATTGTCAATCCTGGTCATTGAATATTTTATAGCTGAAACTAATAAATGCTGTTATAGATTTTTTTGTATTTAATCAATTTCTGTATCATCGATTTTTTTATTTACAATTAATATTTCAAATATATTGTAATAACTTCATGATAAATATATAAGAATTATATTACAAAATTTATTAACAGATTTTAACATTTCCACATTGTGTTGATTTTTCACCTACAGATATTCTTCGGCTAATATTTTAGGTTGATCATTTTCAGAAACATCTTCACTATCCTCATCATTTGCTTAAGCTTTCTTCAACATATCAAGGTTATCATGTACACCTCCTTCTCCTTGTACTCCATCCCCCTTACAAACTACTCCTGGTCCTTCTTCATCCAGACAACCTTCGCCTCCACTTTGTCTTACTTGGAGAACATCTTTCCTTGAAACTAAATCTTCTGTCATGTCTTTTTCTTTAGATTTTTGCTTAGGGACGGATTCAAGACTCTCTTGGGAATTGCCAGTCGAATCTTTCAGGGGTTCAACGCTTACATCGTAAAATTCTAGAGATCTTGGACTATTATTTTTAGATGATTTAGCCCTGTCTGAGTCTGTGGATCGATTAGATCGACTCCGACCTGCAGAACGGACCTTGGGGGTTCTAGAGTTACGTCTGCTTCTGTTCGGTTTCACGTCGTGCACAGTTTGAGTTCCAGATTCCCGGCGAGCTCGACCAGATAACTAAAATATTTGTATTAAACAGTTGGTTAGGACCAAGATTCCAGAGTTCAAAAGTAATTACAGCATCTATCTACGGTTGCATTTAGTTTTGAAATATGGAAAAAGAAAACAAAAGAAATGTAAAAATATAAATGTCAGCTACCTTTTTAGCCTTGGCCTCTGGAGTACTTCCATCTTGTACCGGCTGATCCCTGGTGATGAGTTCTTCAACTAGAGTTTCAGGATTTTTGACACCAGGATATCTTTCTCCGTAAACCTTCTCAACAAGAGTGAGTTGAGGTTTATCAGTGAACTCTTCCTCTACATCCTCATTAGTCTCGTCTTTAAAGACATAAACTTCCTTCCGCTCCTCTCCCCCATCTGCATACCCAGTACTCTTACCACTCCTGGAGACAGGATGGAATTCCTTCAGCTCCTCTCCCCCATCTCCATACCCAGTACTCTTACCACTTCTGGAGACAGGATGAAGGTTTTTATTCCCCGACATGTCCATAAACTCTTCCTCTTCAATCTCAACTTCTAGTTTAGACGTGCTTCTCTCCTCTCTGGCGAGCCTAGTTCTAGATCTATCTTTGATTAAAGTTCTTCTACTCTCCTTCCAATCTCTAGCAGGAGATCTACTGGAGGCATTGGCGGGAGATCTATTGGAGGCGCTGGAGGCGTTTACAATAGATCTATTGGAGGAGCTACTTGTCTTCGGTTTAGGAGTCCCTTCATTTATATCCTGGTCCTAGATCAATAACATGATAATCTTAGAATACATTTTTTTTCGACGCATTCGTATTTAGTTAATAGTTAATAATATTTTCATTCGTTTTGTATACAATGCTCTTAAAACGCAAAAATAGTTGGCCGCCATATGTCTCTGCTCTCTATGCTTTGAATGCTTACACGTGGCAGAGACACCTAGCGGAAAAAGTCGTTTTAAGTGCAATGTATATAAAACAAATAAAAAAAATTATGAAATATTATCAATATACGAATCAGGGGCGTACGAGGGCTTTTGTTTAGGGGGGGCACAATGTGCGCNAGGAAACTATATATATTGTAAATATATAATATATAAACATAATACCGAGTAAACTATCTCTACAGCATGCTCTGCAATAGGAACATATTTGTCCTCGATCTGAACCAAGAGGATTGTCTTGTCGGTGTGACTGCGGTACATAGAGTGAGGATGCATCGGGATCCAACGATGCAATACAATCCCCTAAACAATTTAGATTAAAGGGATTGTTTTGTGAGTTTACCTAATCGCAAAAAACATGAATTGGAAAAAGAAACATTAAAAAACTCAGCGCTTAAAATTGTTAATTCTACCTAGTTCCCAAAAAGTTGAGGCAAATCGGTCAAGAGTTTTTGTTCAATAAAAACTAGTAGGTGAACTGAGAACATTTATCAATATATTTAAATGCGAGATAATTACCTTCATGTTTACATCAGGTATCCAGGTATTCCAAGAGTTTCTTCCACCTGCACAAAGAATGGAATTTACAAATACGACCGGGGCAGGGGTTTAAGTACAGATTTTTGTGGCAGATTTTATGGAATAAAGTGCTTTTTGTGGCAGTTTTTGGTCTGAGACACTTTGCACACTAACAACAATCTGACAGGGGTCAATGAAAAGAAAATTATAATAATTCCAAATCTGAAAGACTAAAAAAAAAAATTGCACTTTGTGTTATTACCTTTAGCTCTCCACTCTGGCTCCGGCCAGATCGGATCTATTCTCCGTCCTAGATTGATATTGTCGTAGACCATGAGAGGATCCAGGATCCGCACCACGGGATACTGTTTCCTAGAGGATACTCTCACCGCAGGGGGGCCTCAATACAAGATTAATCAGTACAAGATCATTCATTTTAGATATCCCCCCTCCATAGTGCTGGTTTAAGATACAGATATCCCCCAACCCCCCTCCATAGTGCTGGATTTAGATATACCCCCGTCCCCCCACCCCCCTCCATAGTGCTGGTTTTAGATACAAGATCTTAGCAAATTCTTGATTGATTGACAACGTTTATTGCTAAAATACTTGTATCTGTGTATACAACAGAACGAGTTTACAATTCACAAATTGATAATTATTTTAACAGTACAAGTACAAAGCAATTAGGTGGAAAATAGCTCTTGGCTGTTTGATTATTTTATTCCACCTAACTTCAAAAATGTTTATGTTTATGTTTGGATTATTTTCTGGACTCCTGGCGGAGTATACATAAAAATTTTAGATTGTTGTCTTGATATTCATAAGGGTGCATATATCACATTAATATGCAGAAAATATTATATTCAATATTTACGAATATCTAGTGCACCAAGATTAAACATAAAGGACATTTTTTCTTTTTTTATGTCGAGTTTATTTTTTTGATAACAAAACATTTCAATTAAATAGATTTAAGGAGAACTATTGGAGATAAGGGTGCGATTTTATCCTATGCAAAATAGTTTACACACTTGTTAGAATAACTATATTTAAAAAAGCGGGGGGGGGGTGTAAGCAACAAATATCAACGCATATTACAACATGTTTATTACTCTCCGGAAAATTTAAACAGTGGTTAAACATAATTTCATAATTTAGCCTTGTCGTAGAACGCTGATTTTTTGCATGCGAATAATATGCCACATACAAGGTAAACTATACCATAAACAAGGTATCCTTGTCCTGATATACCATATCCAAGGTATAATTGTCCTGATGTACCATATACAAGGTATAATTGTCCTGATGTATTATATACAAGGTAAACTCGACCGAATATACCATATGCAAGGTATACTCGTCCTAATTTACAATATACAAGGTATACTCGTCTTAATATACCATATACAAGATATACTCGTCTTAATATACCATATACAAGGTATCCTTGACCTAATATACCATATACAAGGTACACTCGTCCTAATATACCATATGCAAGGTATACTCGTCATAATTTACAATATACAAGGTATACTCGTCTTAATATACCATATACAAGGTATACTCGTCCTAATATACCATATACAAGGTATACTCGTCCTAATATACCATATTTCCTAATATACCATATGCAAGGTATACTCGTCATAATATACCACATACAAGGTACACTCGTCCTAATATACCATATACAAGGTATCCTTGTCCTAATATACCATATACAAGGTATACTCGTCCTAATATACCATATACAAGGTATACTCGTCATAATATACCATATTACAAGGTACTATCGTCCTAATACAAGGTATTTCTAAAATGTATACACAAAAGTATAGCTAAGTTGGTAAGGTAAAGCCAAGGCGTTGCGACACTTTCAAGTAGAGTACGTCAAAAAAATGTATCACTAACTTTTAGAGTTGTCTATATCTCAATAAACCTTGTTTACCTAAAGAATCTGATTGTCCTGCTGCAGGTGGTGGTGTAGGTCTATCTGGAGGGAGAGGGGGTAAAGGTGTTCCTTGAATACTAGAAACAGGCCCCGGACCGCCTACAGATCAAGTACAGATTATATACAGTGTACAACAAATATGCACACATATTTTTACGGATAGAAACTTGATACTTTGAAAGCTTAAAGCTTTATCTGATCTGAGCTGAAAACTTTAGAATGGGATATCCTTAATCCCGATCGGTTAATTAATCTGGAGATTAATTACAAAGGAGTACAAGCATTATTTAATCTGGAGATTAAGAAAAAGAGAAGATTAAGCATTGATTTCGATATCCACCATTCTAAAGTTTTCAGCTCAGAGCTGATCTGATTCATCATTTGTTTTCAAAAACAAATTTTTTTTTTAACAGTTTCTTTAACAAAGTGACAAAAAGCGAAGTGAACACTTTAAGCCAAAAAAACGCTTTTTAAAGATTATTGACCATGTTAAGGGTTTCAAAGGTACCGTTAGGAATGGTGCATGCTTTTTTTTTAAAATTGAAGGTCGTTAAAATTTTGACAAAATTCTCGTTTAATATATAAAAATTCAAAATGGGGCAACTAGCCAAATGCCATTTTTAAGTGCTTTTAAAGGGACAAAAAACGTAATTTCACGTGACTTTCATGTGGCATGTCCGATTCACAGCAGTACTCTTAAAAGCTTTGTCTGATCAAGAGTGAATGAGATATCCATAACATTTTTCTTTGGATTAAGCAAATACCAGTTGCAATTCTAAAGTTTTCGTCGAGGAGATCGTGCTCAGGCGTTGTAGATGAGCGCTATCTCATGTAAAACTTTATACCTCAGGTTATTTAGAGAGTATACAAAGATTGTAAGCTCTCAAGCAATAAAGAATTTTGCTAATTACGTTTCAAAAACTAAAGCTATGAACAAGTACTTCATAGTTCTAAAATGTACAAGCCTAGTGGTGTAAAAAGTATAACTGAGATAAAATGAAAAAACAATATTTAGTTAACCCAGTCTAAAAAATGTATGCAGCTTTTCATAACAGTCTGCATCTACTGTGATAACCAGAAAACTCTGGAATTGGAAGACGACTTTTAAACTCAAATTATGACTTTAGATAGTCCAATGAGAACGGGAAACAGAAATTGTTCAGTGTAATTAGACTCATTTCACTTGATTTGTGATTTAATAAGTGTTTCGTAAAACTATTTGCTTTATAACAAATAACATCAAATACACTTCCGAATTGCTGTAAAGTCGTCTTCCGATTTCGGAGTTTTCAGGTTATGACTGTATGTGAGTACGCTGAGTAAATAAACAAATTGCGTCGATCAATAACGTACCTATCGTAGATGGACCGAAGAGTGAAGTGGGCGGGGTAGAGCCCGAGGGTAAGGATTGTGAGCCCAAGAGTCCAGCCAGGCTGACCAGTGTTCCAGAACTAGGTTTACTAACAGAGCTTACTACACTGGAACGGTTTCCTAGACACAGATTACATCGCTAGTTCTTATAAGTTTGCCATTTTAAAAAAAAATTAGCTATTAAGGAAATTAGCAACATAGATAACTGGACAAATTATGAAATTTGAAAATTTGGAAAACTTGACAATATAAGATAACTTGACAATTTAGGATATTTTGAAAATTTAAGAAACTTGTCAATATAAGATAACTTGACAATTTAGGATATCTTAAAAATTTAGGAAACTTGACAATATAAGCTAGCTTGACAATTTAGGAAACGTGGCAATTTAGGTAACATGACAATTTAAATAACGTGGCAATTTAGAAAACTTGACATAAAAGATAATTTGGCATTCTAACATAACTTGGCAATATAAGATAAATTGATAACTAAGATAACTTAGAAATACAATTTTACTTGACAATTTAGAAAACTTGTCAATATAAAAATATCTTGGCAATTTAGGTAACTTGAGAATCTAGAAACTTGACAATTTGGGAAACTTGGCAATACAAGATAACTTGGCAATTTCAGATGTCTAAACAATTTAAGATGTATTGGCAATTTAGGATATATTGGGAGCTTAGGATATATTTGCAATTTAGGATATATTGGCAATTTAGGATACATTGGCAATTTTGGAAATATGGCAATATATGAAAACTTGGCAATATAAGATATTTTGGCCATTCAGGAAACTTAGAATTATAAGAATTTTTGGAATTTAGGAAACTTGGCGAATTAAGAACTTGACAATTTAAGATAACCTGGCAATGTAAGAAAACTTAAAAATACAAGATAACTTGGTAATTTAGAAAAATTGGCAATACATGATAACCTGGCAATTAAAGATAGTTTGCCAATTTTGGAAACCTGGCAATATATGATAACTTATCAAATTTGAGGTAAAAACACTAGGCGATATTTAAAGAAACTTGCTAACTTGACAATATAGGCAACGAAATTTTGCTATATATGTAGGTGAATAACTTGGCAATATAAGAAGCTAACTTGGCAATAAAAGTAGGAAACTTTTAAAAAGAGAGAATTGCGGATTTTAAAGCATATCGTTCATCAAATAATATATACAATGTAGAAAATCTTAAAAGGCCAATTCAAGTTACATCCTCTTACAAATTAACATAAATTTTTTCTCAATATAAACATGTAAATTTTTGTCGCTCAACGCCATTTTGGGCACTAACTAGTCTTCGTCATTTGTATTTAAAGATCCCTTTATTACTGAACAAGGACCGATTAATATCAACGCAGGGTACAAGAATGAATTCCATTTTTTTAATAAAAATATTTTTATAACTTATAATTGGATGTCCTCCACAGACAATTATTTTCCAAGAGGAAATTATTTATCATAAAAGCAAAATATATAAAAAATATTTTTCAATTATTAAAAACGAGCTGTTCTGTTCTGTTCGAGCTGTTTATTGTAACTACAAGATTATACCGAAAGAAGTCCTTTAACTGGGAAAAATGTCTTAAACATTTTAATGTTATTATTCTCAGTGTTTCTTGGTATTTTCAATTTCATTGCACGAGTTTTAAAAAGTCGATATTTTTGTACTAAAATACCCAAAACTTCTTGGTCTCTGTTATACCCGGGATACCCAAGGGTTTCCTTAAAAATTTTAGCCAATTTTGTTTAAACATTTGGCCTTCTATAGGGCCCATATATATATAAATATATAAACAAATATATATGAATGAGCGAAGGAGCTTTAAAATTTAAAGATATTTTCCTTCAAAAAGTATTTTTAAAAGGCAGTAATATATATGAATGAGCGAAGGAGCTTTAAAATTTAAAGATATTTTCCTTCAAAGAGTAATTTTAAAAGGCAGTAAAATTTTTAACAGAGAATATTGAATAGAGAAAAATCTTAGTAATTTCCTCAATTTCCTGCCAAGTAAATATTCAGTTCCTGTCAGGTGTTTCTTCATTTATTTATCTAATGGCGCTTTTTCAAGATAATATATTTATGAACAAAACAGGATGGTGTATGTTTATGAACTAAACAGGATGGTGTATGTCCATTAATTAAACAAAATGGTGCATGTTACTGAACAAAACAGGATGGTGTATGTTTATGAATAAATCAGGATGGTGCATGTTAATGAACGAAACAGGACGGTGTATGTTTATGAATAAACGGCATGGTGTATGTTTGTGAATTGAACAGGATGGTGTATTTTTATGAATAAACGGGATGGTGTATGTTTATGAATAGAACAGGATGGTGTATATCAATGAATAAAACAGGATAGTGTTTATTTATGAATAAAACAGGATAGTGTATATTTATGAATAAAACGGGATGGTGTATGTTTATGAATAAAACAGGATGGTGTATGTTCATGAATAAAACAGGATGGTGTTTGTTTATGAACAAAACAGGATGGTGTATGTTTATGAATAGAACAGGATGGTATATTTTTATGAACAGAACAGGATATTGTATGTTTATGAACAGAACAGGATGGTGTAAGTTTATGAACAAAACAGGATGGTGTATGTTTATGAATAAAAGGGATAGTGTATGTTTATGAATAGAACAGGATGGTGTATATTTATGAACAAAACAGGATGGTGGATGTTTATGAACAAAACAGGATTGTGTATATTTATGAGTAAAACGGGATGGTGTATGTTTATGAATAGGACAGGATGGTGTATAATGTATATATCTATGAATAAAACAGGATTACAGAATGGTTAACGTTTATAAACAAACAACATCCCATATGTTCATGAACAAAACAAGATAACATATTTTGAACAAAACAAGATAATATTTTTTTTAACAATACAAAAAAGCTTTTGTTCAGGAATATAACAAAAATGTCAAAATCCTCCCTAAAAATAATTTCTGTAAAATTCCGATTAAACTTAATTATTTTACAATTTTTTTTTACATTAGTCATGATGCTTTAAAGTAATGTTTTCCCTGAGAAAGAAAGGTTTCAATGTGTGTTTCTTTAATCTATCTATAGTAATAGAAGATATAAATTCTAAATATTTTTGAGAACAGAAATATTCTCTCTTTTTCTAGCGTCTTGGGGGAAATTAGTTAGAATGAAAGAAAAAATGTATAAAAGAAAAAAAGAGTAATCATGGTCCTTTCATCAATATATCTACTTCATATCCCATATTCACGGTGTCTGAGCACACCCGTTATACCTCCGACCCAAAAATGACTTCATTAAATATATTTACGGCATTATGTCTGGTAGGAATATATTTTTAATAATTACAACCCCCCCTACCCCCCAAAAAAATAATAATTTTAGCTTGAAGGGACTAAATACGTAATTTCCAATGACCCAATTTACTCTGACGCCTCCGCTTCACAATAATGCACTATGAATATTGTCAAAGTAAACATTTATAGGTTATTTCTCTTTTTCTTGATGAAATTTCGTTATTTCAGATTTCAAGTAAGAGTGGGTGACGGATTTATGTTATAGGAGCGAAAAAGTAAAATTTTTCTTCAATGCTAATAAAAAAGGGGCTAAAGTTGTCACCTGAAGTTACGTTGTCCCTTCAATGAAGAACAAATAAACTAACAATGTTTTATCCTAGAATCCTGGTATACATTCATTATATAAATTATACTTGTTGTCCAATGTCCAACCCTGCAACCCTGTTTTTATTCCGAGATTTATCTATTCATGAAATTAAAGATAAATATACAATATGGATTCTCTCTAAGATTAATAATCGTCTTATTAAAAAATATATCTTTCATTTTCTCAGATCGTGGCAGGGACTATGAGGCATGAACTTTTAAATGCCAAGGATCAAAAGTTATTAATCATCGAATTTCAAGTGGTAAGAGGTAGGAACTAATGAACTAGGTTAAAAAGGCAGGAACTTATAAATGTCAAGGATAATACGTTATCAACTATTAAATTTCAAGGATCAAGATTAATTAACTACATGGCAAGGTTAGAAAAGGTGGAATCTAAAAACGTCAAAGTAGGAATATTTAACAGGTAGGAACTATTGAATAACAAGGTTCAAAAGTTGTGAACTTTAAACGCCAAAATATTAAAGTATTCACATTAAAATGATAATGATTATGCGGTAGGATTTATAAACAATTGAATTACTAGATTAAAAAGTTTATGTTTAAAGAGACTGTTCGCGTAATTTCAAGTGACCCTCCATCCAAAGATGTGGCTTCTCCAGCAGGCAAACATAGCACAATTATCAGAAATAAATACTTATAAACCTAGAAGAACAACAATATCGTACAAATTTTTATTAAATAAAGGTTCTTTAGGGGTATCGTTTTGAATCGGGCAATGTCATTTTGACTTTCAGGGTCACTTGAAATTAAGGGTTTAGAGCTGAGAATTTTAGAATGGTGAATTTTGAGATCAATGCTTGATCTTATGTTTTTCTTAATCTGAGACTAACCTAATCTTGTACTTGTATCCTGAAAAGTGTATAAAACTCAACCAATCAGAGTCCCGTATCAGAAGCTGAGAAATTTGAAATTTTACAGAAACGGGAGACTCTCTAATTTTGAAAAACCGGTTTTTGATTATATTAAAAAAAAGTGGATTAAGCAAGAAGTTAAAAGTGTCCACATTGGATATTCGGATTAAGCAGTCGGGATTAAAGCTATCCCATTCTAAAGTTCCCAGCTCAGTCTCTTTACGAAAGGGAAGAGGTATTATTAGCTTTCTTACCTGGCAAACTAGCTCCACGAAGATGTTCTGGCAGAATACCGTCAACTGAACAGTATTTTGTAAAAAAAATTGAATTATAAAGTTTAATAAAATGATTCTCTTCCCCAAAAGTTTCCGATAAAATCAAAAAAATCAGCGCAATACTTTACCTTCAATCTACATCCTCCAATTCTTTACCTGTATTGATATCACATTCTACTCCAGAACTTCCAGTAGTGCAGGATCCTATACATTTATCTCGTACTCGACTCCAGCACTCCCATAGAGCAGTCTTAAACACTCCTAGGCTCAGAGGTCCTCCAACCACTCCACATACCTAGAATATATATATATTGTGTACTCCCATAGAGCAGTCTTAAACACTCCTAGGCTTAGAGGTCCTCAAACCAATCCACAGACCTAGAATATATACATTTTGTACTCCCCTGGAGCAGTCTTAAACACTCCTAGGATTAAACGTTCTTCAACTACTCCATAGTCCTAGAATATATACATGTACTCCCATAGAGTTGTCTTAAACACTCAAAGGCTTAGAGGTCCTCAAACCACTCCACAGACCTAGAATATATTATGTACTCCGATAGAGCTGTCTGAAACACTCCCAGACTTGGAGGTCCTCAAACCACTCCACAGACCTAGAATATATACATGTCCTCCAATAGAGCTTTCTTAAACACTCCTAGGCTTAGAGGTCCTCAAACCACTCCACAGACCTAGAATATATATATTATGTATTACTATAGAGCTGTCTGAAACACTCCTAGGCTTTGAGTTCCTCAAACCACTCCACAGACCTAAAATATATATATTATGCACTCCCATAGAGCTGTATTATACACTCCTAGGCTTTGAGGTCCTCCAAGCACTCCACAGACCTAGAATATATACATTATGTACTCCCATAGAGCAGTCTTAAACACCATAGGCTTAGAGGTTCTCCAACCACTCCACAGACCTATAATATATACATAATGTACTCCCATAGGGCAGTCTTAAACACTCCTAGGCTTAGAGGACCTCCAACCACTCCACAGACCTATAATATATACATTATGTACTCCCATAGAGCAGTCTTAAACACTTCTAGGCTTAGAGGTCCTCAAACCACTCCACAGACCTAGAATATATATATTATGTACTCCCATATAGCTGTCTAAAACACTCCTAGACTTAGATCCTACAACCACTCCACAGAAAAAATCGGATCCACATAAAAAGTACAAATCTTTCGTTTAAAACACAGAGATAGACAATAATGTCCTCTTATTTTATTCTAAAAATACGAAGTCTCAGTACAAAAATGGAAAAAATCAAAACATTTCTGTTTCCACTTTTTTGAATTTTGACCTGTTTATTGGTGTCACTATAGCTGGTAGTGAGGGGGGATACGTAGATAGGATACCCTGCATATTTAATCATTCTTTTATACAATGGGGAAGTAAGAAAGAAGATTAAATGAAAATTAGGAGATAAACGGTAATTAAATAGGAATTTTGAACATTCCAGAAACAATCTAAAATTAAAAATTACTATCAAAAATTCTACAGAAAATGGCTGGTTAATTATTTTTTTCTGAATGTTTTCCTAAAGGTTGATCACAGCTTGAGTTTATAATATTTCTAAGTGCTTGTTTAGCGTTCTGTATACTTCCTCGCTCTGGGTTCCGGTTCCTGTAGAATAGTACATAGTTTAGACTCTGTTCAGTACATAGTTTAGACTCTTTGAAGTCCATAGTATAAATTCTGTACAGTATATAGTTCAGATTCTGTACAATGAATAGTTTAGATTCTGTATAGCACATAGTTTAGATTCTGTAAAGTACATGGTTAAGATTCTGTACATTGCATGCATGTATGATCTATACACTGTACACTACAGTGCATGGATAGGATTTAATAAAACACTTAAATAGATTGAAGTACTGTACATAGAGATAATTTATTATATTACATAGTTATGATTTTGTACAGTAAACAGAAAAGACTTAGTTCAGAATATAGATAGAATCAAATACAGTTTATAGGTAAAATTCAGTAAAGTACAAAGATATGATTTAGTGCAGTATAGATAAGATTTAGTTCAGAATATAGATAGTATTCAGTACAGTACAAATGTATCCTTCAGTAGTACAAAGATATGATTAAGTGCAGTATAGATAAGATTTAGTTCAGAATATAGCTTGTAGTCATTACAGTAAACATATGGGATTTAGTTCAGAATATAGATAGTATTCAGTACAATACATATGTATCCTTCAGTTGTACAAAGATATGATTTAGTGCAGTATAGATAAGATTTAGTTCAGAATATAGCTTGTAGTCATTACATTAAACATATGGGATTTAGTTCAGAATATAGATAGTATTCCATTCCGTCCCTAGTGTTAATTTCTAATTTCTAAATGTGAAGTTTAAAAACTGAGGCAGAATTTAAAGAATTTGAGCCGCGTCTCAAACATGGTTGGTTCTACTTGAAATTGTATTGTGTTTCGAGTTTGAGCCGGCATTCAATTGGAACCGGTTTTTGGCGGTTCAGCGACGCTGTTCTATAAATTCTATAAATTCGGCGTCTGGACGGTTTATTTTTCTACCTGAGAAATATGAGTTCTTGCTGTTGACCGGCCCATAGGCCCCGGACACATTCACGGTTCAATTTAATGACACGGAAACTTAGAAACCTGAACAAACGGTTATATTGGAGTTGGCAGAGATATTATGAAAAATTGGCATTTCCAGGGATTCCAGGCTTTCTGTGCGTTTCGTGCCCCCTACCATTCCTTTCTTCTCTTTCCTTTCTATTCTTCAATACCTTTCCCCTAGTCCTTTTTAATCTTTTCTTTCAACTCCTTCTCAATATGCTTTCCTTTATTTCTAAATTATCGTAGTTTCATTTGGTTTTCAACACGTATTTAACGCTGAAAAAGGGCTGGTCAAGGACGTACACAATGGAGGGCAGTGCCCTCCTCAGAATTCACAGCTACAACACTTTTCAAATCTGAAACTGTAAAGTGAATAGCATAAAAAATTATTTTGCTGCTTTTTTTCTGCTAGTTTAGTTTGAAGGAGAGATAAAGTAGTACTTGCAAGGTAATTGGACTGAATTTTTAGACAAGCCAAATAAACAAAAACAAATTTTTGCATTGAAAATTATGCCTCGGGAAGACATTTAATTAGGCAGAGGCGTACTCAGGGCCTGAGTTCGACCCCCCGCATAGAACGATGAAAATATGAGAAAAAATAACTGTGTCAATACATGTTTCATTAACAATTCAAAAAATTTTCGTCTTCGTGTTTTTTGACTTTTTTTTCTAAACTGTCATTTTAAGTTACAAAAAAATTGTTTTTAGTTTTTAGTAAAAATACTATGAACTGCGCGAAAATGTTAGCATCACTGTGAAAACCCACCACAAGTAAAAAAAATGCTGTTTCCCATGATGTAAGGATATGAAGTTAGATAACAACGTTGTTATTGAACCAATTTGAGAATAATATGTTTTTACCCCCCCCCCCCTCGCTCAGATATTATTGAGGTTGACATGTTTTTAACCAACCTCAATACACACTACACAGGTTTACAATAAAACACAATTTCTTTCAGAGCGAACCAAAAATATAGATTAATAACACATAAGTATTTATAAGTGCCTATCTGTGCATTTTTTCTAATTTTTATTTTCCTTGACTGTATTTGTACTTTAAATAAAACTTTTCATTGTGGTTTTAAATAAGAATAGAAGACCAGGGGTCCCAGGGGTGTGTAAAGACTTCACTTTAGAATTTAAAAATCAATAAATGATTGAAATTACAATAAAAATATATTTCTTCTTTTCATATTTTAAAGAAAAAAATAAATAAGAATTTTAGTTGTTGGATAATGAAATAATCTACGTTTTAAATAAAAAAGTGTTTGTATGTGAGAATTTCGCAAATGTCACGCTTTAATCAGTTATTTGACATTTTGTGCTCGAGTAGAAGTCGGCCAGTAAATAAGACTTTAAATGAAGTGCATGAATACAAATGTTCTGAAACTGGTATTACAGCGACCAAGGGCGTACACAGCAATAAATCTAGGGGGGGGGGGGGGGGGCGGCAAATATGCGCGAAGTGAATTTATTTGCCCCCTCCCCTAGGAGCTCCTTGGGGGGGGGGGGTGGCAAAGTTTGAACTGTAAATTCAAAACATTTGGCTCCTTGGATACTTTAAAGGTACACATACAGGCCAATTACCTTGTAAGTACTACTTTATCTCTCCTTCAAATAAAACTAGTAGAAAAAAAACAGCAAACTAATTTTCTTATGCTCTTAACTTCTGTTTACTCCCTCGGGACGGTGGCCCTCATTCAAAACAACCAGCACTGGTTAGAGAGGTCAGTCCTTGAAAAATTAAACTGCAAAAATTGTGCACTACCTGTAACTTATATTATTAAAATGTTTAGTCTATATCTATCTCTTTCAAGTAATTATTTTAGCTCTATAAACACTGCTTTAGCTGAACTGATCGTCAGTACCATCAACTATATACCTCACCAGATAAAACTGATTTTAGGTTCGTATAAAGTTATTTTCAATTTTTATTTTCATTTTTGGCCAAGAGTTGTAAATTGACAAATCAAATTCCTTACCTAACTGATTGATTATGCTCTTCGATCTTTATTTCAGATTTAAAAAATTGTTATAGCTCTGAGTTCTAGGGGGGGGGGCTACTCCCCCCCTTTTACAGGTATAGGGAGGAGTGCCCCCCCCCCTGTGTACACCCTTGTTACAGAAATATTAGTGATTACAAGTTGAATTTCTTAAATGATTGAATTCAAAGTATTTTTGTTGAATGTTTGTCGAATTTTACACACATTTTTAACTTAAAATCTTATTTTAAATAAAAGTGATATAATTTTAAAAATGATAATATATTCCTGTACAAACCCTGCCGTTTAAATACAAATACAGTCCTGGAAAGTAATTAGTAGAACAAAATACCCATATCCGGAGAAGCACCACCTCTTTTCCATAAATCCAGAGTGTACATTAACGTACAGTGTGAACTCAACTCAGCTGACAATACAAATATTCCGTCCCGGTACATAAAATACGAGCAACAACTGGCTCTGGCTCGGCGCTTAAATTAGTACTTAGAGATACAGGGTGAGAGAGAGAAAATGACAAACTAGAAAAACTTTAGCCAGGGGTGTATAGGAAATGGAAAAGAAATAAACGGAACTTAAAGAATTAACATGAAGAATGGAGGTTTTTTTTTACCTAGCTGGATCCAGTTTTGCTACTGGCAGCTTTAAATATACTTTAATATATAAATGCACTGCTCTTTTCAAATTTAAAAAAAGTTTTTACATTAAAAATAAATTGTTAGTTTACGTCCCTTTAAAACAAATTTCCAAAATTCGAAACTAAATATTTACTATCTCCGACTTCTATATAAAACAACTTGCTGACAAAAAGTTTTACTGTTGTGAATCGGACATGACACTTTACAAATGGAGGGTCACTTGAAATTTACCAACAGTCCCTTTAAACACTCTTACCGTTTATTGAGCATTATAATCTTGTATTCATCTGCTCCGTCGTACATTACATGACGTAGAGCTAGCAGAGACTGTGCTCCGGACAGTACAGCAGTACGCCACGCCGGGTCGCCTTCGTGGGAGATTACCAGATCCTAGGGAAGTCAAATAGAATCAAGACTTTCAGGGTTCCCTTCTCCCACTCTCAAAACCCGAAGTGACTTTACTAAATCAGGTCGGAAGAAAGGTATTATCGCTCTCATATATTGTTTGCAATTTTATTTTGTGGCTTAATACAATACCGAGTTTAATATTTTCTTTGAATGAAAAAATGAACCGTACTTGAAGATTTATTTTTAACCCCGTTAGCAACGTGCATTTAACATTGTGCCAAATTACAGAAACGTCGGGGAAATGGCGTAAGTAGTAAAATGGGTTACACATTTTGTTAAAAATAAATTATTAAGTTTCCCCTTAATATTAAGCAGTAATCATGAATGTTTATTGTTTATGGATTTATTTAAGAGCAGAAATGGGTTAAACAATAATTTAAATGAAATACAAATGAATTTTAGAAATTAGAAATTAAAACTCGACCAATTGGTGGTGCTATGGAAACAGTTCAACACATAAATGCCTTTTAAAAAAGGGACTCATAAACTAATTTAATGTCGTTTCCTCTCAGCTTGACATTAAAAAGACTAAATTCCAACAAGTTTCACAGCCATGGCCGCAGCGCTCGGCCCCCTAGTCTGCCCTAGCCGCAACCTTCGGCCCTTAGCATGTCCTAGCCGTGGCGCTCGGCCTACCTAGCCTGTCATAGCCTGAGCGCTCGTCTTCCTAGCCCGTCCTCGCCGCCGCGCTCGGCCCCCTCCGTAGCTTGTGGCGCAACCTAACCCACTTAAGATTTTTTTTAAGTTGCGAGTAGACGACATTAAATTAGTTTTATGAGTTCCTTTTTCAGGCATTTCCGTGTTGAGGCGTTTCCATAACACCCCAATGGATCCGTCTCACCTTAAAATATTTAAAATTCAGTTTCCCCCTGCCCTGGGGAGAGGGTGGGGGGTGTATTCCTTTTACTTTTTCCCATTTAAGTAAGAGGAGTGGCGTGTGATACAAATTTCCTAAAATTAGTACCAGGAAATTTCTTACCTTTTCATGAGAAGTAATTGCTTCATAAAGAACAGATGGGTCTTCATATTCATCTGGAGACATAAAATGGTCCTGAACAAAACTTGGTTCTGGATAACTTATACATTTTATATCATATTAAAATACCCCATGACAGCTTACAAATAACCTGTTGACTCGTCAAAAATAAATCCCCCTTTGCACAGATTTGTGCTCTTTGGGGTCAATGTGTGGGCTTCCAGTTGGACACAGTTCTGCAAAGGGATTGAGTCTTTGTCACAAACCCTAATTTGTTAATCCCAATATATCTGCAACCCGTTGTCGTACACCTAGATATTTATAACTTACAATATTTGATCTAAAATTTTCAAAGTTTGAAATATCTAAGGTCTACGATATAGTGTTGAACAGATCTAGGGATTAGAAAATTAGATTTTGTGGCAAAGACTCAATTCCTTTGAACAGGGACCTATTAATTATGACGGAAAACCAACCAATTCACATAACAGGCAAATTTTTCAGCAATCAATTAGCAAAAAACAAGGAAAAATACCGCTTTAAACTTTTTTTTGGACTAACCTGATGCAGTTTTAAGCTCATTCTAACTCCGGGAGCAACAACCTTCCTGAGGAGTTCCATATCGGAGAAAACCCATTCATCTCGGACTGATGTTATACGGAAGTCTCCCTGAAATTATTCCAGTCTCATATTATTTAAATTTAACCAGGGGGGGGGGTGCTCAGTTAGCAGTACTAAACACTTTCAACTGTTTACTAATGTTATACTATAGGTTAGACTAGAATCTCCTTATAATATAGAAATATGAAGTACATACCCGGTATAGTTGATGGCATATATAATTAGTAAAGATACAATAAAGATCAATCAAAGTTGAATAATAATATCCTTTAAATAGTGACCCATGATTGAACTCAAATTTGTCTTAAGAAAATTCCCATTTGCCTGATTTATGAAATGTCAATGTATAATCTTGGAAATGTCTGATCAAGAAAAATGTCCTCTCTCAGAGTTGTCCCAGCCCCAGGGCTCACCTTAAAAAGTGCGTGGAGCCCAACCAAGAAGAATTCTACGGTAGAAAGCGCATTATGACCAGCAGCTCCAAGCGCTCGACGACCCAGCACAGACAGTGATAAACACAAGGAAACCAGGTCACTATCCTTACCTGAACATTCAAAATATATCATTCACAAAACTTAAAATTTGTTAAGAACTTAAGTGACCCTTTAGTAATAGAGTGGCATGTCCAAGTCACAAAAGTACCCTTAAAAGCTCTGTCTAATCAGTAATAAATTAGACATCCATGGTTTTGTTTTCAAAGTACCTTTAGGATTTACGCTACAGATACAATGGAAGTAATTGTCAGAATTAAACATTTTTAAATCTAGAAAAACGATAACATCTTCAACATTATTGATCAGATAAAGGTTTAAAGGGACATAGTGGTTCAATTACATGGACTCGCAATTTAATTCACCCATAAAAGAAGAATCAATTTTTATAATTTTGCAGAATCTCTAAAAACAAGGGGCTATTTTAACGGCAAAATCACTATAGGAAAAGAGTTATTGCCAAAGAATGGACCTAATTTTAAAGCCACACAATAAATGCTATATAGAAGCAAGTTGCTTGTCATTGAGAATATCTAAAATTTCAATGAAGTCCATTTGATTAATTTCAAATATACTTAACCTCCCCAGACTGACCTGCAGGAAGCGTCTTATCCCTAGATTTAGTGCAATGTTGAATCCAACTGAGATAGATGTTACAAAAGGAATTCCTCGAGATCCCTTCTCAAACAAGATAAGAAATTAAACAAAGAAAACTAAGATGGAAAGAGATGAACTATATATTCTTCATACTATTCCAAAAAATATGTTATTCACAAGGCAAAAGAAGTATTTTGTAATCAATACTTTACTAGATTACTATTCTTTATTCCGTGGTACATGGATTATTTAAAATAATTAAATTCAATAGTGTCCACAACGGATTTCAAGATTTACAATACTTTCCACATAAGTTCCGAACTCTATTTAAATGAATATTTGATTGAATACATTTCCTAGAATAAAATGGACCAAGAGCATTGCCTTGGAAAACTCCCAAGTTTTCTTCAATAACTACCATATTATACAACAATTTTGATCGGGCACAAAGCAGATACGCAATGCGTATGCTTGTATACTGTATAGCACTTAATACTATTTTATATATTAATTTCTAATCCCTGATGATCTGAAATCAAAATCCTCGTCGATGTTGCTGTTGAACAAAGGATCCAAATCCACAAAGTTCTTAGAAGCAGTGATCCTGGATGAGTGTGAACAAATAAACGATATGCTTAATATTGTGAACTGTGAACTAGGGCTGGGCAAGGTTCCATCGGCAAAACCGTCAATTTTGAAATAAAAAAACGACGTTTATATGTAAAACGAAAAAAACTTTTTAAAATAAAGGCAACTTTTATTCTTTTTTTCTCATTCAAATTTAATAAATATATAATAATAAATAAATAAAATAAATTTTTTATTTATTTTGATGTTTTTACAGGCCGTGAGGAATTTGAGATCTTCTTTTTACGAGATAAAATAGACATAACATAAATGGTAAAATAATTACGTCAGCTCAAAATAATTTGAATAATTTTACACAGTCCTTAAGAATTCTGCAAGATAAACAATTAAAAGCGGCAACTGTATTTTCTAATTTCATCAAGTACAACAATATGGAATCAAATTTTTATTTCTTTTTTTCTTCGTTTGTCTTGGCAACTATGTGAACCTTTGTATAATGAAAGTGACGATAAAAAAACATCCAGCAAACTTTTTTCAGAGCTTAAGATAAGTATTTAGAACGTTTTTTTCACTTTCCTGATCGCATCCCGGATACAAGGGTTCTCCAACCACTCCTGCAGCTTGGGGGACCTCACAGTGTAGTAGATAATGGACTTGATGTAGTAGGAGACAAGGATCTTTCTCAGATCGTACACCTTCAAGATTGAAAATAAATTAATCTTTATTTCTGCCAGTTTTTACAAATCTTGAGAAATAAGAATTTAAAATAGGTTTTCACTTAAAAAGTCGATTATAACAAAAAATTTGTTCTAAAAATGCCAAGATCATAAAAATACTGAACAATATAAAACCATTGCAGATACAATGAGACCCATTAAACTGCGGAAAACGAAGGCTATGTGTAGTGTGTATGATGCTGTAAAGAAACAAATAGTTTTCCCAATTGTTTGAAAATCAACTTTTAAAGTAAAATGGGATTGTGCAGTATACATGTTCATTGGACTATTTAAAATCATAACTTTAGTCTAACAATTTTTTAGTCTATGCTACTATATTCTTCTAATCTAAACCTGAAGCATAGATTGAGCAGAATTATCTGAGATACTATATCCTTCTAAAACATATCTTGTTGCTGTCACCTCCCAGGCCAACCATCTTTGACTCAATGCCGCGTTCAGGCTGAATACAATTATGTTATTTATGGTTTACAATCCGAAGAAAGTACTGCCACTGAATTTTCTTCTAGAGAGTTTGGGTTAAAGAGTTAAAAAATAATAATAAAATGTTTGCACTTGCAGTCCACTATCATTTTTTGGGATTTCGGGTTGAGCTTCTGTTCAAAAATTGCTTTTCACAGAAAGTATGTTAATCTTTCTGTCACCAGAATGTTATTTTTATAGGGAGTCGAGCCCTGAAGATCTGCAATAGCCCTTTCAGTAAATGTGCAGCTAGGAGGCTAAATGACCAACTAAGAAGCTAAATGGACAGCTATGAAGCTAAATGGACAGCTGGGAAGCTAAATGGACAGCTATGTAGCTAAATGGACAGCTATGAAGCTAAATGGACAGCTAGGAAGCTAAATGGACAGCTAGGAAGCTAAATGGACAGCTAGGAAGCTAAATAAAAAGTAGGGACAATGTGGTAAAATTGAAGAGCCCTGGTACCTGAGTAGATGAGGTAGATGACCAGGTTCACAACAACAACATCCTTCATCATCTTCTACACCCTCGGATATAGCCTCGACCTCCCTCTGGTGGCAGTAGGTTCCTCGGAACTCAAGTCCTCGAACCTAAAATCAGAATTTAAAACAGAGATCCGTTTTTACTTTTATTAAGGGGACTGTAAGCGTATTTCAAGTTACCCGCCGTGCAAACTTGACAATTGCCCGATTCACTACGGTACCCTTAACAGCTTGGTCTGATCAATTATGAATTAGAAATCTACTCATGTGGCATGCACATTTCTGCTGCGTGAAACAAATAGAAATTATCAGAATTAGACACTTGTACTCTTGTGAATCGGACATGTCCCTCTCTAAATGTAGATTTTACAGTCACTTGAAATTATACTAATTAATCCTAACCTGGAATGTGCAGAGCCCGTTTCCTAATTCTATAATATGAACTAAACAGTTTAAATAATCAGATGCAAGAACAAAGAAATCTCCTTGTTGTACTTCCCCCCATCTTCCTGAAATTATTTGGATAAAAATCATTTGAAATTAAAACAAGTATTGGTCAAATAATATGGCTTTATAAAAAGTGGCGTGAAAAGAGAAAAAGAAGAAAATCATTATAAATTGGTAGCAAAACAAATTTCGTGATAAAAGGATAAAGTAAGATCGAAACATAAGTGGTTTGGAAACTTGCTTGAACTTGAAATACAGAATGTCCAACCCAACATAACAGTTGGAAAATAGATTTAAATGTCTTCTTCCATAATTTATTAAGAATTCTTTAATACAAAAGAGAATAATAAGAAATATAACATGGCAGTCTTTTTATAGTTAAATTGATTTCAAAATAAAATATATTTGAGTAAAGATTATGTGAACGAAATAAACTGCAAAAAGTCGTCAATATCTAATATATAATAAACGGAGTAAAACATTCAAAACCATTCACCAACTGTCATGTTTTGAGGAACCAACTATATGTAAAATTAAAAAAACAAAAATAAATAAATATGTTTAACTGGAATTCAAATTTCATGGAGGTCGGACATTTTGTATTATTATTTATTAAATGGCGCGCAAAATTTCAAATTTCCCGGCTTCTCTGATTGGCTATTCTGATTTCTCAATAGCCCCACTTGATTGGTTGAGTTAAATACTATTTTTATGACAGAAACTTTGGATTAAATCAATCTTGAAATTAACAAAAAGAAAAGTTCAAGCATTGATCTCGATATCCACAAGTCTACAGTTTTCACCTCTGGTTGGTCACAGAATATTGGATTGAGTAATCAATCGATTAAAATTAAAATTAAGTAATCAATCGTTTTAAATTAGGATTGAGTAATTAACCGTTTCCAATTAAAAGTTTCCATTGTGGATAGGAAGTTAATGATTTTATATTGGCGCTCTCATTAGTTCTGACCTCTCTCCACTGATAAAGAGTTTACCTAGTAATATATCCCCGGCAAGACTGTGTTGTAGAGATCTAGTTAAATGCTCGTAGAAAATACTGTTTAGATTATTATCATCCGCCCCAGGGTTTCTCATTTCAACCTAGATGTTTCCGAACTCTATTNTTAACCTAGATGTTTATTGTTCAGATTATTATCCGCCCCAGGGTTTCTCATTTCAACCTAGATGTTTGTTGTTTAGATTATTATCATCCGCCCCAGGGTTTCTCATTTCAACCTAGATGTTTATTGTTCAGATTATTATCATACGCCCCAGGGTTTCTCATTTCAACCTAGATGTTTATTGTTCAGATTATTATCGCTCCAGGGTTTCTCATTTCAACCTAGATGTTAATTGTTCAGATTATTATCATCCGCCCCAGGGTTTCTCAATTCAACCTAGATGTTTATTGTTAAAATTATTATCCGCTCCAGGGTTTCTCAATTCAACCTAGATGTTTATTGTTAAAATTATTATCGCTCCAGGGTTTCTCATTTCAACCTAGATGTGTTTTGTTTAGATTATTATCCGCGCTAGGGTTTCTCGTTTCAACCTAGAACTTTATTGTTCAAATTATTATCCGCTCCAGGGTTTCTCATTTCAAGCTAGATGTTTATTGTTCAGATTATTATCATCCGCCCAAGGGTTTCTCATTTCAACCTAGATGTTTATTGTTCAGATTATTATCGCTCCAGGGTTTCTCATTTAAAGCTTGATGTGCTTCGTTTTCCCTGGAATACCAATTGATTTGACCAAAAGAGAAACAAGTTCACAATTCCAAAAGCTCGTTGATTTTTACAGTGACAAAAAAAGGGTTTGAGACATACACAAATTCGGTCGGTAATCCCTTCTTAGATGTATAAAGTATTTTTGTCGTCACGGACATTAAAAATAAATTGTGTCCGGATCTTCATTTAAATTAAATGAACTGGATGAACTGGATGAACTAGATATACTTGATAAACTGGATGAACTGGATAAACTGGATGATGAACTGCTACCTGGCGTATGAGCAGAGGAAGATGGTGCTCCCCAGGAAGGGGTTCAAGGGGGAGGACAGTGCGCTAGACACTGCAGCCTAATATTTATATTATTCAAATCAAATCATATTAAATCATATGATATTTTACTACAGCAAAACATTAGTACATTAAATATGTATAAAAATAGTACAGCAGTAGAGCTTTGATAGCTTAGAGCTGTTTTCACAAAGTTCTCGATCCTGTGATCCTGAAGATAACAATTTTTTGAAGACGGTTATTGATACCAATTTCTCTTAAAATATGGTACGAGGTCTCTATAGATCCAAGGATCTCTTGAGATCATAATAGAGATCCAAGTTCTTCAAGAGATCAAAGGGAACAGAGAAACAAGTAGACAACAAAAAATGAGAATAAAGATCTATGGATCCTAAAAGATCAAATCCAGACCAAAGAACCAATGACCTAGCATTTATAAAAAAAAACTTTTATATCTTTTAAAGGAAAAACTCTTACAAACAGACTTTTAAGAGTTTTGAACCCCAAAATAGAGAAGGCTTATATTGACGCTTGGTTTACCTGTAGAAAGAGCATGGCAGACTGAGGAACTAAGAAGGGATATATTGATGCTTGGTTTACCTGTAGAAAGAGCATAGCAGAGTGAGGAACTGAGAATGGTTGAGCAAACGCATGAAAAGCAGATCCCCAGTTAATCTGATGAGGAGCTAGACATGTGACAGGTTGGTGTAATGTTTAAAAAAAAAAAAATTATTAATCATGCTTAATCATACTTAAGAATGCATCATGTATCAGTATGCTCAAGTATGCTTAACCCCGCTTAATTAAGTATGCTCAATCATGCTAAACCATGCTTAATTTTGCTTAAGTTTGCATAAGTTAGTTTAAGTTTGCTTATTCTCTGAAGTTTGCCAAGTATGCTGAAGTATTTACAGGTATGCTGAAGTATGCGTAAGTATCCTGAAGTATGCTGAAGTGTGTTTAGTTATCCTTAATCATGCTTTGTCATGCTTGACCATGCTTAATTTGGCTTAAGTATGCATAATTATTCCAAAGTATGCTTAAGTATGCTTATTGCTTAAGTATACCTAAGTATGCCTAATCTAATTATGTTTGATGAAAAATGTTAGAAAATAAAAATAAAATTATCAATTCAATTTTCTGAAATGGTGTGATTTGAACAACTTTTTTTAGAAAGTTTTATCAACACAGACCTCATTGAACCACTTAGTCCTAATCATCAAATCTAACCTCAGAATACATATTTGAAAAAAATTTAAACGTAACTGATTACACCCCTGTATATGTGATGACGAACTGACACTTGAGATAGAGTTCGAGTATCTTGAGAACTAGGATGGAGGTGAGGAAGTAGTCCAGCAGGAACGGGGACTGACGCACCTCTCCAACCACTGCGAACAAGGCAAAGGTGTAAATATCAAACAAATATTTCTTAAAAGGACAGACCGGCTATGTAAGGTAGTTAAATTGAGTAATGCAGTGTTGTAGAAAGCTTCTTTAGGATTCATTTCAGACATATAAAACTTTTTAAAGATAAGTAAATCCTGAGTTTGAGCGCAAATTCGACGTTCAAAACTCCGACGCCGAAAAATAAAGTAAAAATCCTACTGTAATCTTATTAGATGGTTATGAACATATTACTCAAAAGAAATTTGTCAATAAATCAATGCTAGAATAAATTATTTTGTTTTCCTCATTATATTGAATTTCTTAGTTTCTTTGAATTTATTCGCAGATTTCTTCAATTCTTCAAATGTCGTCTTTTCAATAAAAATTCCAGAAAATCTGCAAACAATCTTTGTAAATAATAAGAAACTAGAATAATGAGAAAATAGAAACTAATAATTGAACAAGATTACTTATATTCGATGATAAGATTAATTTTTATTTTCTCAACCGGTTCCTAAACAACTAATTAGTTTACTGTAGAATTTTGTTTATATTATTTGTAGTCGTTATTTAATAATTTAAAAAAAAACGATTCTGAAAATTTATCCACCACGCCCCAAAGTAGGAGTTTTGGACGTCGAATTTGCGCTCAAACTTAGGATTTACAGTTCTTTAAAAAGTTTTATATGTCTAAAATGAATCCTAAAGAAGCTTTCCACAACACTGCATACTCAGTTAACTACCTTACATAGCCGGTCTGTCCCTTTGAAAACAAAAAATAAATTTTCCTTCTCTTAAAAAGAAATCCTGCAAAGTTAGACGTTTTTTTCATAATTGATTTTTAGGGAAACATTTTTGAACGTTTCAGTTTTCGTCCATTATGTTTTTTCCCAGCTATAAATGTACATTGGACAAATAGAAATGTACATTGTACAATATGTTTATTATTTTTTGCCAACCCTGATGGAATACATGCTAATTATTAAGCAAAATTTGGGGATTATGACAACAACTATTAATTACATTTAAAATGATCATATCATTATCATTTAAAACGAATAAGTTCATTTCATTACGTACATAAATCATAAACTTGAAATATCTATAAAATCCACGAACTTGGATATTTCTTAAAGTGATGATGCTCAGTTAATTCATTGCTTAGAATCCATTTATTTTGATGCGGATACGGGTCCTGGACCCGCTCAGAAAAAAAGGATCCGGATCCAGGTCATGAATATATTTCTTTTGAACAAAAGAATTTTCAAATTTTAATTCACCTTTTTTTCGCTAATTTTTATGATAGAACTTGATGAACTATTCAGAAATAAAGACGTTTTTAAGAAACTCTCTTTTTTATGTTCAGTTTTGATAGTTGAGAGCCAATTTTGTTTAGTTTTTGGATAATTTTTTTGATCCAGATCCAAAAGTATGCGGATCCGGATTCAAAGCACTGTGATCAATCCCAAAAATATTCGTATTTAAGCTTATTTGAAAATAGGCGAACAGTCCTTTTATTAAATAAAATGAAGAATCACCTATATTAGTAATTGATGAGTTTGTTGGATTGAATTGAAAAAGTAGGATGGAGAACAGAAGAATCATATATTGTCGGGAACTGTCAGAAAAGCAAATCCTAAAAAAATATAATTTTTAATTTTTGACAGAATTATTCTGTTTGGCGTCGTGCAAAAATCTCAGTGTGGTAGGTAAGATTCTCAAAAGTTTTCTATTGATAAATGAGGTTGAATATAAAAAGCAGAAATAAATATTTTTTAAATTTTCATCTCTTTTTATTTGAAAAGAATGTTCTAAAATATCTAATAAAAGAAAATCCGGGAACCAGTTAAACAATTTAGCAATGCAATAATCAGAGGAATGTATAATTTCAAGAATTTTTGATGATTTGGGGAAAAAAATAAAAAAAGGACATCAGAATTCAGAAGGCAAGTTTGTTAAACCTTTTTCTATACTTTTTACCCAAAACATTATTTACTAGAGAATAAACCCATAAAACCTTCAGGAGGCGAATTTTTTTTCTTCCAAAAAGGGATTACTTTTCCAGATAACATACACCCTTGACAATGACAATGGCAATGGCTAATCTAACATGCGCAAAGTTGACGATATTATTAACCTTGTCTAAAGTCTTTTTTACATTTCCTTCCAAAAAACCAACCTGAGTGATTTGAGAAGGCATATTGACATGAGCATTGATCCTCCCCAGAGTCCGAAGAGGTCGGAGAAGACCCCCTTGTCCTGGTATACAGCAGAGAGGAAGATGAGAGGATACAGGACGGATTTCTCCAAGATGACGGCCCACAGAAGGAATTTCTCCCACCACATCACCTTAGCTGGCTGACGAACCTAGTATTATTATTATATTATCATAGTTAGCAGACAAACCATCATTCCATTAATAGGGTTCAACGCTCCTTCCCACTGAAGTGTATCCAACTATCCAAAACTTCAGATACTGGAAGAGGATGAGGTGGGGGGAGGGGGGGGGGGGTTAGAATGAAACTAAAGAAAAAGAGTGATTTTAAGTGACCTAAGCTAGGACACATATCTTTATAATATCTGGGACCACTTGTAATGATTAGAGAGACATGGTTGAACCGTGTATATGTTGTTCAATCACTTCTCTTCTGCGCACAGGAGAATTGGTTGAACTACGACTGCGCGGTTCAGCTACTTTTAAAACAAAAAGCTTCACCTCGAATGATCTGTGTTCATGAGACTTGAGAACTGGGGAGGCAATACACTTCCATGGATTCTCTTTCCTGTAAAATAAAAAATAAAAATAAATACGCACTGCTATGCAAAAAAAACATCACAAGCAATCAAAAATAGCCAACAGCTTATTATGATATGAAAGCAACTCTAACTAAGGCTATGTCTCTTGTCTATATCCTAATCAAGAAATTGGACACTTGTCACTCGACACGATTGGGTGGGGGACGCACATGCTAAGATAGATAAATAGACAAATAGATAGATAGATAGATAATAGATAAATATATATGACTAAATATTTTATTAATACAGATTACATAGATAGACATAGATTACCATTGCTGGTTGTTTTGAATGAGGACAAAAACATAACTAAGAATTGAGACCTTCTTTGGAATTTTCATAAAAAAAGCAACTTCAAATATTAACAAGTGGTTTTTGTATACATATGTGGTAGCGAAGAATAACTTCAATAATATGAGCTAGGGACCACATTAATCAATTTGTAGTATTCCTGAGATGTGGTATAAGATAGTGAAGAATAACTTCAATAATACAAGCTAGGGACAACATTTTTTAATAGGTGGTACACCTGTGATGTGGTATAAGATAGTGAAGAAAAACTCCCACAATAAGAGCTAGGGACCACAGAACAATATCAAAATGTGGTATACCTGAGATGTGGTATGATGTAGTGAAGAACAACTCCCACAATAAGAGCTAGGAACCACAAAACAATATCAAAATGTGGTATACCTGAGATGTGGTATGATGTAGTGAAGAACAACTCCCACAATAAGAGCCAGGGACCACAGAACAATATCAATATGCGGAAAGGTTTTATCCAACACGTCAGACTACAAGTTCAAATGTTTTAATACACTTTGATATTTGGTTTTACTTATGAAATTATTAAATCGAAGAAAATTCAAAAGAATTTCCAAAATTTAAAACCCTACTTTAAGTATCGCAGACTAGTATTATTATAAAACACTTTATCCCTGAACAACCAGGAAAACAACAACAGCTAACAGAACACAAACAATAATATCATTCTTGAGCCGGGAGTTGACGGTATCACGTAGTTTCTTGGGTAAAGGATCCCCTGGTGTTGGAGACTCCTCCTGGAGCTCTGGTTCACTAGGAGACTCAGTACCTGGAGCATGAGGAGCCAGGGGGACATCTTCACTCAGGATAGCCAGGATATGTCTAGAGAATAGAAAATGTGAGATGGAACATAATGAAATTAAATCTTGAACCACCCCAGCATCACCTTAATAACAATAGGATGTCAGGAAATCGGACCAACTTTGTTTTAAACAAACAAATTGCTTAACTACATTGCCAAGGAATCTTTAATTAGTTCTACTTCCTCTAACTTAATAAATGTTCAACTAGTAGCTAAAATATACCTTTTTTAGGCACGGGAACTTCCTATTTGAACGTTCTTAAAAACATTTTTCCTCCACAGAACCAACCACCACGTAAGGTGGAATTATTAATAATAGGCATTACTTATGCTTAAGAACTAAAGAAAATTGACAGAAAAAAAGGTTAAAGGGTCAATCATCCTGAGAAAAGAAGGCTGAAATTCAGAAGTAATATATTTCTTCATTTTTTTAGCTTGTACACTGTACTACAGTGTACACTGTACAGTGTACACGTACAGGACAAATACATTGTTTTAGATTCAATCATTTAAAATACCTTTTAAGAATGGAAAGGATAACAGTAGGGTCTCCGCTAGATCTTGATAAATGATACGACATTGGAACAGCCAGGGAGCAGAATATAGAGAACAGAACCTAAACAGGAGGAGAATAGAGAACAGGATCTTAACAGGAGCCGAATATAGAGAACAGGACCAAAACAGGAGGAGAATATAAAGAACAGTATCTAAACAGGAGGAGAAAATAGGGAACAGGATCTAAATAAGAGGAGAATATAGAGAACAGGATCTACACAGAAGGAGAATATAGAGAACAGGATCTTAACAGGAGCCGAATATAGAGAACAGGACCTAAACAGGAGGAGAATATAAAGAACAGTATCTAAACAGGAGGAGAAAATAGGGATCAGGATCTAAATAAGAGGAGAATATAGAGAACAGGATCTAAACAGAAGGAGAATATAGAGAACAGGATCTTAACAGGAGGAGAATATAGGGAACAAGGAGGGAGGGGTGGCTGCTCCCAGGGTTTTGAAGTATCATGTAAAAATTTATCCAACCTTTTATGAAAAGTCCTTTAAAAAGGAAACTTTAAAACCGACCCCTTTTTTACTGTCGTTGTTCAGATATTTGCAGAAAAAAAAATTGCAAATTTCAGTCCAAATAGCCTTTGGCGATCATATAGTTTTGATTAGCCAAACTGACAACATTTGTTTCAGCTTGTACATTATAGATTATTAATAAATGTAAAAAAAGGATTTTTTTAGCTAGATTCTTAAAGGTTTCATTTGAGCTGGTCTAATACATCTCAACATCTTTATAAGTTATCTTATTTCAAAGTTTTTTTTTCAGAAAAATCCAACTTTTCGCCTTAAAAAATCTTAAATTGATTGGTGCCATTCAAAACTGCGTTTTTATTCAACAGTCACGAAATAAAAATTATTCTATGTTAAATTTAGAGCCTTTTATATGGCCCGCAATATACCAAAAGTCATCAAATTATTGAGATATCTGAGGAAAACTATGATTTTTCTTAGCAGAATACAGAGAACAGGATCTAAATAAGAGGAGAATACATAGAACAGGATCCAAACAGGAGGAGAATATAAAATACAGGATCTGAACTAATGAGGTCAACACTTTATGCAGGTAAAACTAAGGGATTAAATACTTATCCCTCAAATCTTAAAGTTGTCTGAGTAGATATGAAGATTAACAGTTGTAGATTAGCGCTATTACACACGAAATTGTTGATCACATATCAAGTCTATTTATCTATCTTACCTGCTGAGCATGAACTGAATGAGTTCTCTCCGTTAATCCTCCATACGCAAACCCAACTGTTCAAAACAAAATAGAAAATGTTTGCATATTCACAAGGGTACCCTTTTAACCTGAGTAACAATGAGGAAAATATCATTTATTGATTTCCTGAAAAGAGATAAATTCTGTCAATTTCACTCCTTCTATCTGCGGCATTAATCCATAAGCGACTTTTATAGAGAAGAGAACTTTATAGAATTTTATCAAACTTTAGATGAAAAAAGGGGGGGGGCAATTCGACACTTTGAGACACCAAATTTAGTACTGGCTGCAGCTGCGTTTGATCCTAATAATTGAGATAAAAGGGCTGAAATTTTGCATGTAGCCTCTGATTGTGGTCATCTACATGGATCATTAAGAAAATTTTAGATCGAAGGTCATTGACCTCCATTTTGACCACCATGAACTCAGGAAATACGGGAAAATACCACTTTTTTCACTCTGATTCAATTATTATTCAGACAATAAGAAAATCAATAAGTTAATAAATTAATAAATTAATTAATAAATTAATAAGTTAATCAGACATGTTTTCATTTTTTTTTGCAACCACTTAAGTCATTCGCTGATATAGACACATATATCCGACCTCCATTTTAACCTCCCTTCGATAATGACCTCCAAAAAAGGTCAAATACTAAATCAATGTAAATAAGTGGTATGAGGCAAGTAATAATTAGACCAGAGTGCGTATCATAATCATAAATCATGATATTCTTGCATACAATATTAATATATTTATATTTCCCCCGACCCCCACACAAATGATGGGATTCTCCTGAATTCTTTGTTTTGATCTACTCCCACTGCAGTTAACAGACTTGACAGATGTCTTATTTTCCTTGATTTAATATTTGACCATTTTTGGAGGTCATTATCGAAGGAAGGTCAAAATGGAGGTCGGATATGTTGTCTGTAACAGTGCATGACTTATATGGTTGTAATAAATATGAAAGCATGTATGATTAACTTATAATAATTGAATTAGAGTGAAAAAAGTGGTATTTTCTCGTATTTTTTGAGTTCATGGAGGTCAACATGGAGGTCCGATCTCAAATTTTCTTCGTAATCCATGTAGATGACTATAATTAGAGGCTGCATGCAAAATTTCAGCCTTCTATCTGAACCATTAGGATCAAACGCAGCCTGTACAAAATTTAGCGTCACAAATTATCGAATTACCTTCCCCCCTTCATCTAAATGATTGTTGCTTAGGCAAAGGTTTTCACTTTTAAGAGTATTGCTGTCAACAGTCCGCTTAATATAATTTAGACTTAAGATAAAAAGTTGTACTCAATATAAAAAGAAGCGAAAAAAGTGCTTAATTTTTCAAAGGAAATTTAAGATTGAAATATAAAATTTTACTTAATATAAAAAGAAACGAAACAAGTGCTTAATTTTTCAAAGGAAATTTAAAATTGAAATATAGAATCTTGTTTTATTTTTATTTGTTCCTAGAATAACATTAGCTAGGATAGATCTGGATACACAGTATACACTAGACTGTATAGAACTACTTGCATTCCCACCAAATATCTGAAAATATTTAATATTTATTCATGTAAATAATTTACAAACGTTTATATTATCATGCCGTGTAGTTTTAAAGATCATAACAAAAAAGCTTGAACTTTTTTTGTGAAATTATAATTCTAAAAAATGCTGCTAAGTGTAAATAAAACTTGAGTGCTCCGCTAGTTCTTAAGCTTTATAAAGAAACCATATTTAATCATGTGCGCGAACCTTATCCTTACTTCTTCTTACATTAATTAGTTATGAATGATATAGGGTCACCCACAAAAGATAAAACGACTATAAGAAATTAATGCTGTCTGTTTCCTTGCATTATAGTTCCATGTACATGTTTTCTTTCGTTGCCCATTGCCCAGTCATTAAAAAGCCATAAATATATTAGTTATGGCAGAATACCTAATTTAACATTAACATTGGAAATTTCATATTCAAACAGACTAAGGTCGTCTTTCTAGTATTATCCTTAGCGGGAAACAGTATATTGATTGATTAATGATAAGATGAAGATTGATAAACATTAGACAATGTTTACCTGAATATCTATTTGTTCCAAGACGAACATAGCAGCTGTATTGATCTGTGGGAGTAGTCCAAGTGTGAATATGACCGGAAAGGCGAGCAGAATAATATACAGGGTGTTTCTGATCACTTCAAGGTGAAACCTTTCACCCCAGAGGATTCCATACAAACGGAACGGAGTAACCTCGCCCTAAAAATGAAAAGAATCACCTGAGAAAAATACCAATTTTTAAATTCTCATTTTGTTATTTCATGTTTATTAATTTATAATATAATATCGATAACAATAATAAAAATAATACTCGGTCAACCATCATTCCGTGGAAATCTAGTCTGAGTCCCCCATCAAGAACTTAAAACTTAAAATCGATTATTTTTCCTTTTCGAAAAATCTTCGTCCGCCATTAAATCATTAATAAATAAAGTATGTTAAGTTTTTATTCTTGATTTAGCATCATCATCGTAGATCAGTTGTGATAAAAATCCATATTTAAACAAGTAGAAATTCAAGAAGAATATCACAGGCAGAAATGTCCCCACAGGCGTTTGGGAAAAAACTAGAAATAAAGAAATAAAATCAGCCCTGCATGGGACTGAAGTTAATGAATTAAAGCTACTTGGCTCAAATTACTACTCCCAGTTCAAATCTAAACCACTAATTCAAAGTTTAAATTTCAGAAAAGATTTGAATTGGTGATTTCAAATTTGAACCCGTGGTAGGCAGTTCAATTTCATTAAATTCGGCCCCTGTATAAAAACTTTTTTTATAAAAAAATAACTAAAAACTATGATAAAAGTTTACCTTGAGAACAGTTTCAAGGATTAGAACAATACTGCAGAATATGACGAAATAAACAGGTCTAAACATAAACAAGACATTTACAATACTGCAGAATATGACGAAATATACAGGTCTAAAGATAAACAAACAATACAATAACAATACTGCAGAATATGATAAAATATACAGGTCTAAACATAAACAAACAAGACAATAACAATACTGCAGAATATGACGAAATATACAGGTCTAAAGATAAACAAACAATACAATAACAATACTGCAGAATATGATGAAATATAGAGGTCTAAACATAAACAGACAATAAAAATGCTGCAGAGTATGATGAAATATACAGGTCTAAACATTAACAAACAGGACAATAACAATACTGCAGAATATGATGAAATATACAGGTCTAACTCTAAACATAAACAAACAAGACAATAACAATACTGCAGAGTATAATGAAATATACAGGTCTAGCCGTGTCCAGTTAGAATTGAACCGTGGACTGGTTGAACCTGGAATGATACAGTTTATATGACGAACTTTTAAGAGTACGGCATTTACTACATCCAAGTATCAGGGGGAGAGGGGGTGGAGGGGATGTAATTATTATTATCTTAATTACCTTGAGTAAACAGTTGTTGAGTTGAATCCATGTGTAGGAGAACTAGCGTCAGGTTGAACAGATTTTAATAAACTATATTGGCTTGAGCATAACACTGAAGAAAACAAGCATTACTCATTTATTTTTTATCCTAATTTTTGAAAATTCAGATTCGTATCAGGGTCCGCCTTAGTAATTTATGCGCGATTGGCATTGTTAGCCTTAAAAACCTTTATCTGATCATAAATGGTGATAAATCGTTTTCATAAATTTAAAAAAGTTAAATTTGGACTATTTCCTTCCATGTTTCTGTAGCAGAATTACGCAAGTCACTTTGAAACGAAGCCACAATTGAAAATAATCAATCTTCAAGCAGAAGATAAAAGATATCATTCTTGAACATGACAAACATTTGAAGGTACCGTTGTATTTCGTACATACCCATTACTAAAATAACGTCTACAGTTCCTTTAAGTAGTCCACAAGTAATATCATTTTAACCAACGATCCTGTAGTAGCATTGCATTTTTTTAAATATTGTCAAAAATTTAAAAAAAAACCCTTGTTTTGATTAATGAGTTTTGCTTTCCTAAACAAAACAAAACCAGTTGAAGGTCCTTGAAATATCCTTCTTGGATCACTGAAAAAAAATAAGCTTATAAATCAAGAAAAAAAAGTACTTTTTGAGATATTAATAAAATTTTACTCTATTTCCACTTTTACAGATGTAATTACGAAAGGATGTCCCAGACCTACTACCTACAACAAAGTTTGACTACAGAAATATACTAAAATGTATTTAAAAATTCAGTTTTCTTCTATCAATTACAATAGAACATTTTGATGTTCATAAAAAATCATTATTTCACAATGCTAACTCCGTCCATCCATCTATACAAGCACATCAGCAACGATCACCTCATCAAGATGATGGCTCGCCATACACAGGAAGAGAGCTTGAATTACGTATGGCCACTTCGAACATGTGTTACATAAAGTGTATCTTTTTTGTTAATATCATGTTATTTTGTATCCACATATATAAAGTTGTAATCTCTGTTCAATTTTTTGTCCGATCATAACTCAAGAACCCCTGGACCTATTTGCCTCAAATTTAGACAAAGGAACTTTGGAGAGCCACAGGAATGTTCTTAGCTTGATTTTTAGATTCTAAGTTGAGTGGGTTGACTTCAATGGCGAAAATTTAGTTTCCCGGTAAAATTGTTCAAGTGCGGGTAAACGGTGGGAGTAACTTTTAGTAACCTTGTCAGTGCTGGGTTCCACGGTTATGAAAGTCGTCCTTCTTGGATAATTCTCCGCGGCAGCTGAGAAGACTAGGGGGAGTTTCAAGAGCCACGTAATATAATAAAACCATGTGAATATACCTTATAACTTTTTACCACGTATCTTAGATAAAAATATATAATCAGTTAGTCGTGAACCTTTGTAGTTATTTAGCTGATCGCCAAAGTATCTTTTTTGTTAATATAATGTTATTTTGTATCCATATATATAAAGTTGTAATCTCTGTTCGTTTTTTTGTCCGATCATAACTGAAGAACCCCTGGACCTATTTGCCTCAAATTTAGACAAAGGAACTTGGGAGAGCCACAGGAATGTTCTTAGCTTGATTTTTAGATTCTAAGTTGAGTGGGTTGACTTCAATAGCGAAAATTTAGTTTCCCGGTAAAATTGTTCAAGTGCGGGTAAACGGTGGGAGTAACTTTTAGTAACCTTGTCAGTGCTGGGTTCCCAAGCTAGTAATAAATACAAGTGTAAAAAAGTTCATGAATTTGTTGATTTTTGATCCATTTCTGAAGTCAAACTTTTTTGCAGTAATACTTGATCAAACTCAAGAATTTAATGCAAGGAAAGTTATTTCAGAGGTGTACGCATCTTGTGTACTGCAGTGTAATGTCACTGGGCGGTAATGTAAACACAAGACGGATGTCGAAGCCTGACATGGGATCAATCTTTCACATAAAAAATCAATGAAATATTCTGGTCATAGGAAACTATTACGTGAATTATCAAAATTATCAAAATTCAATGCTTTTAACCTCCTCGGATACTAAACGAACACTGAGGCATCTTTTCTTGTTTAAAAATTCCGTCCAGAGAAAACTGGTTACAATATGTACGCAGAGAATACGAAACTGCAATTAACTTTCCTTGGATTACATTCTTGATCAAACTGTTGTTACTACTAAATATCTAGATTATATGTGGCAATATAGCATAAACCTCCCTTGGAAGCCTATTGAAAAAGCAGTAGTCGCAAGTAGGAAGGATATGCTTGTATGTAGCAGCTTACCCTTGAGACCCTAGTATGGCAGTAGCAGTAGCAAGTAGGAAGGATATGATTGTATGTAGCAGCTTACCCTTGAGAACCTAGTATAGCAGTAGCAAGTATGATGGATATGATTATATGTAGAAACTTACCTCGAGAGCCTAGTATAGCAGTAGCAGCAGCTTACCTTGAGAGCCTAGTATAGCAGTAACAGCAGCTTACCTTGAGAGCCTAGTATAGCAGTAGCAGCAGCTTACCTTGAGAGCCTAGTATAGCAGTAGCAGCAGCTTACCATGAGAGCCTAGTATAGCAGAAACAGCAGCTTACCTTGAGAGCCTAGTATAGCAGTTGCAGTAGCAAGTATGATGGATATGATTGTATGTAGCATACTAGGATCCTGATCCAATATATTAAGAAGTGTAAGACGATCTAACCAAACTTTCAGTCCTTTAGTTCCTAGAAATAAGATAAAAGGTGATTTTCAATGACCCAGTCATAAATAGATTGGCACGTAAAATTCACAATGGCACCTTTTTATGAGGAACAATGAGGAAGATATCGTTGTATTTTTAAATAGAAAATAAGGATAATAATCAGATTAGCCAAGACAAAGGATATAAGGGTCCCTATGGCATTTTCCCAAGGGCGAATTCTATTTCCCAAGTGGCAGCTTCCCAAATGTAAATTTCCCGAGCGAAACTTCCCAAAAGTTAGGTTACGCCTTCTGAGGCGCCGCAGGCCGCAAAGGGTCCGAGCGCTGCTGCTAGAAAAGGCTAGGGGGTCGAGCGCTAAGGCTAGGACAGACTTGGGAAGTTACCGATTGGGAAATTGTACATTTGGGAAGTTGCCACTTGGGAAAATACCATTGGGAAGTTGCCGCTTGGGAAAAATCCTTTGGGAAAATACTTAAAATCAATAGTCCATCTGATGTTGAATTTAAATTTTATTCCTATTTGCATAAGTATAAAATAGGTCTAGGGTTGCCCAAAAATATTTCTCAGTATTATGTCCCATTGTTTCTTCCCTTATTCTATACATATAGCAAAAAAATATTTAGAGCCCGAACATAATAAATTTGAGCGGCGTCTCAATTCAGCCAAAAACTGGTTTCAATTGAGCGGCGGCCTAAATCTTAAAACATTGAATAGTAGAACAAACCATATTTGATGCGCGTCTCAAATTTAAGCTGCGGCTCAAATTCTTTGAATTCAGAATCAGTTAAAAATTGTAAATAACTACTAAGATTATAAATATTACTATAAAAAATTAGTTTACATTTGTTTAGTAACTTAAAACAAGTAGGTTAAATCTTAGGGTATACTTTTATTATGACTATCAATAATCAATATTCATAATTTTTTTAAATATATTTTATTCACCCTCTAATCAAACTGGACTGCAATAAGCATATTATTCAACAAAATGTTTTATTTTAATGTACTCGTATCTTAACAAGAACACAAACAAATAATATTTAATAATGAAGGAAAACAAAAATTACAAAAAGCTGTTCTGACGTTCACATCACCATTTTTTTTGTATTTTTGTTCACAGGGGAAAAAAATCAGACATCACTTTTTCTTGTAAAAATGGTACACCCCATTATACAATATTTAAACATTACCTGGAATATTGAGTATATGGTATTTTCTTATTTTTGGAGTGTTTGAATGAATACTGCCGAGGTGTGCTGAGTTAGTGGATAAGTTGACCCGTCCGATACTACTCTCTTCTAGGCGGGTCAACTGACCTGACCCTGAACAATCAAATCATGGATCAATGGAATAATACATCAATCAGAAAATCAATTAACAACTTCTATTCATACATTCCAAGATGTCAACTCTAGTTTTTATACTAAAGGCGAGATAAAAGAAAGAGGTTGTGTACATTTTACTGTGACGTAATAGAACAGCTAAGGAACTGGTTTAAGGTAAATAAACAACATTTACTAACCAAGTTCTGCCTTTTAAGCCAACCCATAAATACTAAAATCAGATCAAATCAAATCATTTAATCCGCCACATTTATTAATTCCGATATAGGTATACAATCTTTGTATTGTCTATATAATAAATAAGAAATTTTTGTGGACACTCACGTGAAGCCGGGGGTGTCTTTTGCAGAAGAAAATTCGGAAAAAAATGTTCTTCATTTTTTTTCCACGGACAACGCCAATCCCTTCAGCTAGTTGTTTTAATAAAACTAGTTCCCAACGGTTCTTATAGATTAGTCAAAATATGTACAAAACCTCCCCCCCCCCTCACTTTATTATTCACAATTTGATTCATTCCATCAGTCTTAAATCAATCAATAAAAAACAATCAATCAAAATCCAACCAATGATCAAACATTCAATCTAGATGTTCAAATAGGCACACAGAAAACACTCGTTTGCTAAAAAAAATCACAAATCAATTCTTTAAAAAATATCATCTTCTGACCTTCTGGAGTGTGGAAGGGGAGGTCAGGGACAGCCGCGGTCAATGTTTGACCGGGCAGACGGTCAAAAAGGTTCTCAGCGAACATTGATAAAGGGTTGTATCTTCGGAATGCCTGAATAATAAACACACGTTCTAGTTATCACATTATTACATAAGATATGTTTTATTTTGCTGCAATTATTGTAATTAAACGGTTCGGGTTTGAAATGGAATTGAGTTTTCAAAATTTGTTAAAATCCAGAAAGAAATGTATGCACGTATAGAGCCAATAAGAGATAAGAACGCCTTGTCCGATAATATTATTCAAATTTTTAACGCAAAATAATCTTCGTGTCAGGAAGAATAAATTTTGATAAAAGAAAACTTCAATCAGCCAGGAGAAGTTGTTTCTGAAGTATTAAATCCCCCCTCACCCAAAAAGCAATTAGGCTTAGAATTTTAACTTTTTTGTTTCTCTCATATAATTTTTTTCCATTTAGGAGAGGGCCAATTCGAGACTTAGTGAAACCAAATTTTGTACAGACTATGTTTGGTCCACATAATTGAGGTAAAAGGCTGAAATTTTAAAGTTAAGCCTCAAATTTTGGTCATCTACAAAGATCATGAAGAAAATTTGAAATCGGAGGTCATTAACCTCTATTTTGACCTCCATGAACTCAGAAAATAAGGGAAAATACCACTTTTTTCACTGTAATTCAATTATTACCAGTTAATCAGACATATTTTCATATTGTTGCTACTACACAAGTCATACGCTGATATAGACACATATGTCCGACCTCTATTTTGACCTCCTTTCGATAATAACCTCAAAAAATGACCAAAATATTAAATAAATGTAAATAAGTTATGTGCGGTATGAAAATATAGGTTTTTCGGTGTTCCGATACCATTCTGATACCCCTATTTGACCTCAGATTATCCTGCAGGTCGTGGTCTCCAAAATATGAATTAACAAAAATAAGTCATGTGAGGTATATCGTAGGTTTTTTGGTATTCCAATTCCATTCTGAAACTCTTTTGACCTCAGATGATACTAAAGGCATTTGATCTCCAGATATCAATGATCTCAGCACATGACTTATGTGCCAACAAAACATATGAAAACTTGTCTTATTAACTTATAATAATTGAATTAGAATGAAAAAAGTGGAGGTGGAGGCGGAGGTCATGGAGGTCAAAAATCAAAATGGAGGTCATGAACCTTCGATCTCAAATTTTCTTTGAGATCTTCTTAAATTAGAGGCTGCATGCACAATTTCAGCCTGAAGCGATGAAAAAAATCGTCATAAGTTTATACAATACTGAAAAATAGTAAACAAAATGTACTATTCCCCCCACCCCTGCCGTCTTCGATGAGAAGAAAGTATACCTGGCTTGAAGCAGCAACATTGTATCTTCCACTGTTTCCGGTTTCCCGAGTCCAAAACGCATCTCTGTCCCTGATTTTTTAGCTTACTTAATATGTTGAAAAAAATATCTTTTGTCCATTTTGTCCCATTAAACACAGAAATTATGTGACGTCTTAGAAATAGTTGTTTTTGTCTACATGTCATTTTTTTGTAAAACACAGTTATTGAAACAAACCAATTGCGGCTGATAATAAAAAACTTGAGATTTAAAATTATCATTAGAAATTTAAGACGACATTGAAATTGTCTTTGAATCCCCATCTTTCCATGAACTCTGTGTACAATGAGAACCAGAAAACTGTAGAATAAGAAGAAAACATTTAAGCAATAATTAAGTGTATTTGATGTTGTTACAAAGCAAATAGTTATAATAGTAACTTATTAATTCACTTATGTAAATTAAGTTGGACTGTTTACACTGCTCTATTGCTGTGTTTCATGATCATTGAACTATTTAAAGAAATATTGCAAGTGTTCCTGAAAGTTTCGGCATTTGAGTCTCTGGAACGCTGGCGCTCTGCTGTAGGTTGGAACACCATTGCTGGACTGTCAAGAATAACTGTTAATCCTGAATCTGAACTAGAGTGGGATTGAAGAACAGTTGAAGCTGCAGCAGTACTCTCAGTATTCCAACCTCCTCCTGGTACCTTCTCATCATCACGAGATGTTCGTCTAGAATAGATTTTCATTCAGGAATTTAAAGATCTAGGTCTTCAAATATCAGCATAACATTAAAATATTGGAAGGAAAATTTTTTTTTTTTTATATGAACAAATCTAATTGTCATTTGGTTATTTAGGATTTTAGAGATCAGCATATCATTAAAACATGAAAAGAAAAAAAGTATCAACAAATCTAATTGTCATTGGGATATTTCTGAGAATTTCTAATTTTTAATATTTTAAAATCAGCAGATTATTAAAATATTAAAAGAAAAAGTATCAATAAATCTGATAATCAATTAAATACTTTTTTAATATTTAGGATTTTTAAGATAATCAGATTATTTTAAATATTTAAAGGAAAAAGTGTATCATTGTATCAAAAAATCTGATTATCATTTGGATATTTCAAGAACTTTTTTTGAACACACCAGCCATCAGCATATCATTAAACTATTGAAAGGGGAAAATGTATCGTATCAACATATTTAATAATTATTTGGATTTTCCAGAGACTTCATTTTGAATTTTCAACAAAAATAATTGGATTCCCAGTCTGTAAAAAATAATTGGATTCCCAGTCTGTAAAAAATTGGATTCCCAGTCTGTAAAAAATAATTGGATTCCCAGTCTGTAAAAAATAATTGGATTCCCAGTCTGTAAAAAATAATTGGATTCCCAGTCTGTAAAAAAATTACTCGTGCCAATTTCTACATGAAATTTAAGATTCATGTTATGAACATTAAATATACAGGGTGTCCCACAAAACAAGATAGTAGCACGACAACATGAAGGTCGTCTTTGATCTTTGAAATCATTTGCAGCATTTGTTCGTCAACACACTTTTGCATGTAGGATTCTTAAAACAATAATCTCAGAATTGTCTGACATTTTCCAAAATGTTGTTTACCGTTCTTGTGCTGTCAAATTACCAGCGCAAATAAGAATTTTGTTTAGATTTAAAGCAAAATTGTTGAAATCTAAAATTGTTCATGTCTCCGGTAATATTGAAAGCACAAAAAAGGTAGAAGTCATTAAGGAAATGGCAGGACTAGATATATATTGTATATTATGATTATCAACTCTAAAGTTTTACTATTTGAAATATCAAAAATGATCTTCAAGTCTTCTTGTTACTAGTGCTTAGGAATAGTATCCATTTAATTTTGATACGGATCCGGATCCTGGATCCGCACTGGAAAAAAAAGAATTCGGATCCTGGTCATGAATATTTCCTGAAGATTTACTAATTTTGTTACTACATTTTTTTCGGGTTTTTATGCAAAAACTTGATGAAGCATTTAGAGATCAGGAAATTTTTGATAATCTCTCTTTCTTTTAAAAGTTCAGGTTTATGAGTTTTGAGTAAAAAGATTTTTGTTTGCAGTTTTTGGTCTATAGTTTGCTCCTTGGATCTGCATATTTTTGCGGATCCGGATCCAGTAAGTCAAAATGTTTCGGATCGGAACCGGATCCTTAGCACTGCTTCATACTGTCAAGTTTTGTGGGACACCCTGTAATCCAGAATGATCATCTTTGTATGAAAAATGACATCGTTATTATGGATGGATTACCTAGACCCTCCTGTTTCTGTAGAGAACTGTCTACCTATCCCAGCCTGTAGATCTTGAACCTGGGCAGGATCGGGGCATAATCCAAACCAACCATCTATTCCAAAAGTGTAAGAGTGCCAATTACCGTATTCATCTTGGTAACAATGCACAGCACCTAAAGAAAGTGACCCTTAATAAAAATTATTTAATTTACAAGTATTAAAAGGTGTCTGTCTACCTGCAGTGGTATCCTCATGATTCTCAGCAAAATGAGTTCCTTTCCCTTCCTTCGCGTCTTTATCATCTTTATCTTCTATCTCAAGTTGTTGACGATCTCTCCGTCTCCTGAAAACAAATATTTATAATCATAATTATGATTTTGTGCATGTTTTTGCTTTTTCATTGCTTTTCTTCCGAGAGTATTTATCAGGCCAGATAAATATTTTTCTCAACATTTTTTATCCATCTTAAATGGATCTAAGAATAGAAGTGCTTGGTATTCATTAGAAATAGTATTGGCCATTGAGGTTGGAGCCAATATTAAAATTTTTCCATTCCAGATAGTTGGTTATTCACAGTTATTTTGTGAATACATTATTTCAGTACATTATTATGTTAGACTGATAATGCTTGTAAGATGAAGGCATTAAACAACAGATGTTTATTTAAAAAACAAATAAAGAGAACAAATCAAATTAATTGAAGAGGTTGCTGAACTACCTAACGCTGGTTCAAACCCTGAACTTTTAAATGGTGATTCAGGATTTGAACCGGCAGTAGGTAGTTCAGTAACCTCTCTCAAATTCATTAAATTCTGCTCCTATACATATATATTTATATATAATATATTTAGGAAACCAACAAATTAAGAACAAATCTAATTTATATTCCTTTGCAGTTGGCTAATATACATAAATTTGGGTAATTTACTAAATTGGGCTTCCTCTTACAGCAAGCAATCTCATATTACCAACCTATCTAGTTGTTTTACAAGATTCAATTGACATTTACAGCTGTTGCTTGAAGTGGGAGGGGAAATGGATTTACAAAGATCCCCCTATGTGGTAAATAGAAGGACCCCCCCCCCACACCTATGACAATTAGGATGCACAACTAGGGAGATAGGTATGGATCAATAGAATGTTGTCATTTTGTAAGTAATTATTGAAAAATGGATAGGGGGACTTCTTTCAAAAAAATACACCATTATTGAATACCAATATGATCATTTGACATTCAAGTGGTACCCAGCACATTAACCATCAAGCATGACCAAAAATGATATATAAAAATTGAAAATATTTGGTTAGCTAATAATAACTATATTTTTAAGAAAATTGGTTTAGAACAACAAGTTATGACACTATTATTAATAATGCTTGGACAGTAAAAATTAAAGTACTGAAACTTATTTCTTGTCATAATAATAGTGAAAAGAAGGTTCTTTGAAATGTTTGTATGTATACTTATCTTAATTCAAACAATGGTTAATGATTATGCTATTATACTATAATTTATGCTGTGATGAAATTTACCATGAAGTGAGCATGAATGATAAAGTACACAATATTTTTCATAAATTTATATAACAATTTGCCTTTCATAATCTCCCTATTAGCAAGGTTTGTGGAGAATACACACATTTTAAAAACTTACAGTATCTGCAAATTTAAATAAATCCAAACCATACTTTAGAAAGAAGTTGAAAATTATATTTAGAATCAATATTAGACTCTGATACCAGTAAAGATCTAATAGTAAATCTATCAAATTGTACCACATTAGGATATAACGCCTTATTAAATCAACTTCCTCTATTTCTGTTCCAAATTTACTCCACATATTTAATGAAACTCTAAACAAATATGCTGTTTTCTTCTCACACACTAAACTGCCAAAAATTTGATTTTTAATTTATTGTACGGTAACTTATAAAATTATTAAAAAATCTCTGTCTATCTCTAAATCTATCCACTTTGGTGGTAACTCTGAGACTGCTGACCCTCATTTTCAAGAATTGCAGCTATGACAGCACCTGAAAAAAGTTTACATATAAATGCTAGAAATCATGTTGGAGAGTTATTTATCCATTGTTGATCAAATGAATTATTAATTTTAGTTTTTGTTCATAAATAATCTAGTGGATTTAAAGCATTACCTTTCTTGATAATGAGTCCCTTAATAATAGCAGCTTTAGCTAAAGGAGCAGTGATAGGTGCTACAATACCTCCAGCAACCCCAAGGGCGACTAAACCTGAAGAAAAATTGACGATTTTTAAAACTTAATTTTGAGTCAAAAAAATGATTTTATTTTTTCAGAGTTTTAATATACTAGCCTTAGAGGGCGCGCTTCGCGCCCATCTTCTAAATTAATTGTGAACATGTTCTCTTTGTGTACATCGTAAAACAAAACAAAAATAATTCGCAGATTTTCACAAAAAATTTTGTGGATTTTCAAAATTTTAAAAAATTTAATGGAGATCAAATTTTGATGGAGACAAATATTTGAAATTTTGATCATTCATAAACCTTCCCTGGGGTCCCTAGATGTCCCACAAAAAATTTGGGCCCGATCGGTTCAGCTGTTTTGACGTTTATTGGATACAAACAGACAGACAGACAAACAAACAAACAGACAGAAAAGCCAAATTTATATATAGATAAACTTGAGCCATGATTTTGTACCTGATCCATAACCGAAAGCTCCTGGAATAATAGGGTTTCCACGCTGAGGTGCTGAACTGACCGCTGACAGCAGAACAGAGAGAGAGAGAAGCAGAGCCAGAAACTGCAAAAACATGGTTAGAAAATAAAGAAGATGTTACAGGTATAAAAATGCTCCATCATGGAGAAAAATGTTTCGACAGAAAATTATCTTGTATCTGAAGATGTTTTCTCCCAAAATATGCATAAAAAGTCTAAATAAACACATTGAATATGACAATTCAGATTTTCAAACCCTACATGTTTTCTACATCCCTTTTAAGGATTTGAGTCTTTGCAACAAACTTAAATGTTCTTATCCCAATTTTTTTTTCAACCTGATTGTGTAAACTTTCTATATTTCAAACTTAAGATTATTTGCATTAACATAGCTGATAGTTTGAAAAATAAGGTCTACCACATTGGGCTGTAAAGATATAGGGATTAGAAAACCAGAGTTTGTAACAAAGACTCGGTTCCTTAAAAAAAAGAGGAAAGATATGTTTTGGGTGGATACATAGCATGTCAATACAATTTGTGGTATATAGATATAATTTTATTTAGATTTAGATTTACGAAGTGTTTAAGAAATGTTAATAGAAAAAAACATCCATTATGTAAAATTATTTTTAATACAAATAAAGTTTTTTAAAAATATAATAAAAACAAAAGAATTGTTCACTAATATAACTTTTGTACTTGGAAAAAAAATATGCGATAAAGAAAGAAATATCAAAAATCCTGAGGGAAATGACTGTATAAAAAGTTCAGTGGAAAACACATGATTTAATTCTAGAGGAATTAAGAAGTTTTAAAAATATTCTACCTTCATACTGAATGAGTGTGCGTATTCAGTTGCCTTTCGAGACTGATGTCCAAGTACGCGAATGTTTCACTTAATATACAAGCGGCGAGGCTATACATTTGACTTTATGAGACCACTTTAACCTAACATGGGAAAAAGGGGGGGGGGGATTACAAAATTAATTCGAAAATTATGAAAAAAAATCCAATAACGTATAGAAAATCTAAAATAAAAAAGTAAATTATTAACACCGAAAAATGTTAAAATTGTAATCCCCCTTTTTTTCCCCACCCCACCCCCTGGCACTGACCGCGCATTCTACGCGCAACGTAAAAACGAATCGGCGTATACTGGCGCAAACGTCGGTTGCGTCGAAACATAGTCCCCGGGATATTATTGCAACTTGACCAGACAGGTTTTCTTCGCCTAGTCCGCCACTTCTCATTCAAACTAACCTTGATTTTATCCAGTGCATGGAGTGGGGGGGAGGTTGCTGTATCAACGGTATTCGGTATGTCGGATCGATCATAAAATCAAACTCAGTTCCGCGGATTTTCAAAGGATCAGTTTATTATAATTTGATAAGACAAAAACATTTGCGACATTTTACAGGACGTTAAAAATTGTTGGTCCATAAGACAGCCTTATTTTTTATCGTTGTTCGATACTTTGGACATTTTTTATTATTACTATAGTTTGCTGATCTATTTATTCATCTCTGAGGTTTTTAAAATATTCTGAATTTTTTTTACTTTAATGTTCAATTGATCTATAACAAAATGTTAAATTTGAATTGATAAACTATGAAAAAAACACGGCAATATTTATCAAATTAATACTTCATTTCGAATACACGCCTCACTATCTTAAAAACATTATTTGTAAATTATTATTTTTGAAAATTGAAAAATATAATTTTCAAATTTAAAACTGTAATTACTAGATAACATTGCTAAATGAGAAGCTTTTAGTAGATGTTAAACAAAAACTTTTAAACATTGATGAACCAATCGTTTTATGGGACACCCTGCATGTTGCCTTGCTGCCCTGCTTGGTCCACGTTATTGGCCTAGCGCTGGGTCGTCTTTTATTAACCTCACCCAAAATATTAACATTATTGTAAAAATTTATACACAAACAAGACATACAAGTTGAAACAACAAATTAATGGTGAAGTTTAATTTCTTTTTAATTTTTGTTTTGTTTTCAATACGTAACATCATGAAGGGCAATATTAGGGCAACAGTTCAAAGTTCCGATGAACCTTCGACCAGTTGATATACCACCTACGTAACATCATGAAGGGAAATGTTAGGGCAACGAAGTATTTTGAACCTATTACGCCAGAGGCATTAAGTAGAACAAGTGTTGCGGCCCATTTATAGAGAACACATACGGTTCAATATAACGGCAGCAGTTTATATTGTTAAACTACGTAAGGTCTATATTTGCATGCATTCACTCTAAATATTCCCACTTTGTACCGAAGCGGATATCTTTGTTTCTGCGCTAGCTTAACCTGTTTTATTCATGTTTTGTCCTTGGTAGTTTAACCACGAGTATTATCATAAACAGGGAGTGTATTTTATTTATTTTTTATTCTGTTTTATTTCAAGTTTTGCAAAAGCGCATCTTTATCTTCATTGAAATATTTGCATTTTTAATAGTCGTGAATCAATCTTTATTTCGCGCCATTTAAACATTTAGAATCTGCATTGTTCCTTAATCGGTCATTAATTTAGCCCTGTCATAAAGTTGTGTCATTCAACAGTAAGTGATAACAACAATTGTCAATAAAGTTTCTAGCAAAAACTGAACAATGTCGCAGACTCTTTTT